TCATCAAATCAGCTCTCAATTAACATTAGAAAAAGAGGACCATGGGGGACCAACAGGTACCGATTAGGCATTGTTTGCAAGTAGCTATAAGTAGTGCAGTGGGGCTTTAAGATATATTTTTTTTATTGGAGTTCTCTAGTAACTTACTGGGCTTGGAGGTCAGCGGCCGTGATCTCCTCTGTGTCTGATCCCACCTCAGTGAAAATGTGGGAGGATCCAAAATCCATGGCAACGCTTTCCTGTCTTCCCCCTCAGGCTCAAAGTTGATGAAATTTAGTATGGTCTACAATCTGTTGAAAGATAATGTAATGGATATTTAGAAGAAAAGGTGATGGAACTGGAAGTGGGCTTAACTTATAAAAAACTTGTTTACCCCTCTGTAACAATAAAGATGAATAATAATAGGATTTGTTCTTAGAGAAGGGTATTAATTCTGTGCACAAGTACATTGTACATGTATGTGAGACTGTGAGTGAACGCACTTCTGGCTCCAATTAGACATTATATATGAAAGGCTCTGGACAGCTGTTACAAAATATTGTGTGACTCTTCACCTGAATACTGAATCACTACAGAATCAATCCTTACAGAACCAAACTCAGGCAACCAAATATTTTACAAGCATTACTTCTTTTTGGTTCCCCCATATTCCATGTTACACTGTATGTTAATAACAAACAAATTGTTGATTATGTAATATTTATTGTACTTTAGTCTTCAATTTATTATTTAATTGTATTTTGTTTTTGAATGTAGTGTTTGTTTGTATAATTACTTGTTCAAATTTATTTGTGAAATATGGAAATAAATTCAAATCAATCAAAACATAAAATAGCTAGTATAAGATGACAACAAGAAGAAGAAAAAAATGAAAGACGTTTGAACTATTTTAATCCTTTTTGAAGGAGAGAAGACAAATTTTTGATGTGGCTACAGCTACATTTAGATTATAATGATAAACAGAAAACCTTAAATTACATCAATCAATGCAGGAAGTAAAACTGCATGATGCATGATCTCCATGTCGATGGCCACTTTGAGGTGTTTTTTGCGCAGTAAAAGTTCAGACAAAGATAATCCATCAACTAATTTGGACATTACTAATTGTATCACAAATAAATTTACATGTATACCACACTGTCAAATACAGGAGTGGTCGAAATGTTGGCGCTTGTTCAGAAACATACCCAATTTTCTTGTATTTTTTGGAGTAATTGGGGGGAAAACATATATTAGTAGGCCTAGGGTAGCGCGCCCAGTATTCGGTCCATTCCCAGTATTTGGTCAGACAGCCGTTTCAACAGCTGTAACAATTTAAAAAATAATTCATGAGCCACGAAACTTGCACAAATCAGGCAGCTGAACAATTTTTCTTAACTCTCAAAATTAAATCAGATTTAGGGCCCTGGAAAGATCTCCAACTTAGCTCGAAATTGGTCAGTGTCGCACAACTTTCCGCACTTCCGGGTTCTCTTAGCACATGCGCTAACTTGCATAGCCATATGTAGAAGTCTATTGGGAAACAAATACGTGTGCTGTCACAATGAATTTAGCATGTGTGTGAAGAGAATCACTTCCGTGTTCGCTCCATCGCAGCGAATTTGAAAATGACGCACTTGCCGATGTGCAAGAGGTATTTATACGATACCCTTGCCATGCGGTATCGCTCGGCCAGTATTCGGTCAACGCATTGACATTCAGTGCTTTATCGCGCAATTGTGTGAAAATAGTGCGCAAATACGCTACGCTCCTTTGCAACGGAGATACCACGCACAAATCGCGTGACCGAATTCTAATCGGCGCGACCGAATTATGGGCAGAAAAATGCTCCGTCTTCTTTCAGAAGTATTTTGCTTATCATTATTCTATATTTTAAGTGACTATAAAATCCTGTCAGAGGAATAAATTTCTTTTCTTTTGATGGGTAGATTGCCAAATAAAAGAGGTAAGAATTCAAAATATTAGTGATTTCCCCTTAAGTGACCGAATACAGGGCACTCTACCCTATACACTTTTTCACAGGTTTCACGGCAAACCGCTGCACAATACATTACAAGTGCATACTGATGGTGGGTTGCAGGCGGGCGCGCCCTTGTGTGTGAAGTTATCTACCGTAATGAGGATCTGAGACATTACGGTAGATAACTTCACACAGGTAATAAACATAACAACTTTTAACTCATGATCTTTATTTGGACATTTAATGAATATTTACTTCATTTTGGGTACGGTTTAGTAGGGTATCTCCACGCCGGAGTTACGGGTAAATTTTGGATAGGTTTCTGAACAAGCGCCAAAATGTTGACAAACAAGACTCAAGATATCTTAACGATCTTAATTTTAATAACATGATTTCATGAAACTTATTGAAAGAAATTAAAATCCACACGTTTCTTTGAAGCCAGCTAGGTTAATAAATGTTCACATTAAAGTAACTTAAAACAATAGTGAATATGAGGAGAAAAAACAATACTCAAAAGTGAATACGAGAAAACAAAACACAAGTCAAGATGTGTAGATCTAATTCACATTTTATTATCAATTTCTGTCTTTTTGGACAAATGTAATTTCTCAATCAACATCAAATCCTTTCAAACTTCATTCTTTAAATTTCTTCATTTATTTCTAAAAATAGTAAAAGTACTAAATAATAGTTAAGTAAACTAGACTTGCTCTAGTGTAATTCACTAATTAATTGTAAAGTGGTTAGTGAAAATTACGCAAGTGAAAATAAAAAATAAATGACAAATCACATTTTTTTCTAGCTGTCAAAAAGTGTCAAGTGCAAGTGCACAGTGTCAAGTTTTAAATTCTACTTACACAGATATCAGGACGTGGGACCGTACAGTTGCTTCGTGATGATCGTGTGCAGCGTGAGCGTGTTCGCTGTTTCTGCTTTCCTTGTAGATTATCAAATGACTTCAAAGAATACCCCTAAACATTACGTTGACATTAATCACTTCTGAAACGGCATACATTCATAATCATATGTCCTTGTTCCGCTTGAACTGGTTAAATTACAGGTGATTCGTCCGGGTGTGTTTGTACCATTTCCGGAAAGTTCAAGCTAATGCATATTCATGACCACGACACTCCCCAAAATAGCGCATGATGACGTATACATAGGAGCGTATTCTTATGCAAATGATGTACACCTCATAAATATTCATTTGTGCCTGAGAGCACATGTTGGTTACTCGTAGCAACATCAACACACAAGTCGCTTCCGTATTGTTACGAGGCGTGTTTTGTGTAGCGCATAGCAAAAGACTTTGCTCCAGAGGATTTCGCGGGATACTTCTTCAGAATTCTGGCCTTTTCCTTTCAATCAAGGGAATTTAAGAGAACAATTCAGCACTTTTTGCAGGTAAATAAGTAAATATATTTGTATGAATTCAACAAACGTTCTAGGAAAAGATTTAAGGAGGTGAATTTTGAATTTTGAGCTTAGAAGTTTATATTGCCCTCTCACTGAGCTCTGTCGATCTCACACTTGATTGAACTGATGTGTTGTGGATATATTTTCAGTAATTCTAAGGCCATGTAAAATTGATTTCATGTTGATCGTCCCCGCCCGCTTCCTTTTTGGGGGCCGCCTCCTATTTTTTGTTATTTGTTATTTGTTATTTTTTTTTTTTTTGATTTTTTTTTGATTTTTTTTTTTTTTTGAAAGAAAAAAAACATGAAAAAACACTGCTAAAATGGCTCTATTTCTGATTAAAAAAAAAAAAAATTGTCGGCGGCCATCTTGAAAAAAAATAGCCTCGACTGTCGGGGAAAATGTACCGAGCGGCCATTTTGAGCGGCCATTTTGAAATATCAAATATCAAATAACATGGTACACCCTCCTCCTCTTTTTCAAAAAATCCGGACGATCAACATGTAATCAATTTTACATGGCCTAAACGATGGTAGAATATCTAGTTTGTATCCTTATTTATATGCATGTAAGTTATATTATTATTAGCTCAGTGAACTTTATTGAATGTAAGTAAAGTAATTAGGCCTATACCTTCTTAATTGTTATATATATATATATATATATATATATATATATATATATATATATATATATATATATATATAGTCTACAGAGCTCTTAATTATTATGTTATGTTTTTTGTTAGGTACCTGTATATACAATGTATAAATGTAAAATTATGATCATGATGATGGGGGTTGGGTGACTGTCTAGACACTTAAACATGAAGCCTTTTCTTTTGCCTTAATTTAGATTTAACAAAATATTGCTTGTAAAATCTGTTGTTAAATCGATGGTCCAAATAAACAACCTGTCCGGACACAACGTCTGAGTATTACATGTTTTTACAAAAATATTAATATGAATAATTTCAAATTGTATAGACAAATTCAGCCTTAAAGGACATATTGGTTGATATATTCTTATTTATTTATAATGATTCTTTCTTCTGTTTTAAAATCTCTAGATAGAAAATACTATCTGTTTTAATAGAGGGTAGTCGTTCAACATATTGATCAGTTGATTTAATTAAGATGATTTATTTTTGTCATACTCTCAGGTTAAACTTCTTACTTATATATTCATATTGATTATTACTTCTGTATATTGAAATCACAAGATAGAAAATACTATCTGTTTAGAGGAGAGATGTGAAACATATTGTCAGTAGATTTAATTAAGATGCCCTATCTTCTCTCATATACATGTACTCAGGTTAATCTTCTTTCCATCCATACATTTTTACTTATTCATATTCTTCTGTATTAAAATTTTCAGATAGAAAAAACTATCTGTTTGAATAGAGGAGTTGTATAATAATTGTTGAATAATTGTTAATATGTTGAAATAGAGTTGTGAAACATATTGATCAGTTGATTTAATCAAAATGCTGTTTTTTTTTCTTCATATTTTCAGGTTAACCTTGTTTCCGTCTTCAAATTCATCCGTCCGTCTGTCCGTCCACTATCTAGTCATCATGGGTAGATTACCAGTCGGTGAGCCTACCGCCCACATGTCCGCCACCCAGGGGCCGGACGCTAACCTCATGAAGTTCTACTCCACCTCGTACGCCACCTCGTTCGGTGTCAAGCACGAGCCGTTCGTACCAAGGACGACAAAGCACGTCGGGACCGGTTATCAGTCAAACTTCAGACCGGGAGTTTACTATAGCCAGCGTCTTGACGAGGTTGATAATCCTGCCATGGGGTAAGTTTGTTGGTTTTGGGTCAAAGGTCACCATACGTTTAACTCATTTTAAGGCAGCTGGATGCTAATCAATTAATTCAATCTAAACAGCATACAAAATACCAATAATATAGTAATTGTATATTGTAACACTAAAAGTACCTACTTTTGTGTTTTATGTACAGTAATACTACATTTATGAGAGCTGTACATAATTTATTAGAGCACAATTTATTGGGTTTATGCATACATGTAGAACATTGAGCCATGAATATTTAGATGAGATGTATTGTCAATGAAAATAATTATATCTATGTTTTAAAAAAAAAAATCACAATTCTAACAAGGGATAGCGTAAAGGTTTTGGAATAAATCCAGGGGGTAAATTTTGTGTTCAGTATGCATTTTATGTCAATAGCTTCCAGACATACATGTATGTGCCTCTACTTTTACAATAATACTTTTGAAATGATTGTAGAAAATCATGCAGGATTTCAAACCCCTTCAACTTATACCCTTTTTTTGGTTGATTTTTCCTTTTTATCAAATTATTAGGAGAATCGTCAGTGACAACTATAACTCCATCACAACAAAGCATTACAAGCCGTCGATACGATCGGATGGCAAAGATCGATTCCCCGAGAATCTGAACCAGGTCAAGAGTGGTTTCACTGAACAGAACCCTATTAACTTCCCAACTGTTGGTCAAGTAAGTAGAGAAATGAGGCCAGTCTCTTCTTCATTGTGTTGTGTGAAACATACAGTTTCTCCTGAAATAGTATATATATATATATATATATATAATGATATAATATGTATAACTATTATATTATTATTTATAAATATATTATTACAAACATATGTTTCTCCTGTAATAATATAATATGTATAATAAGGGAGATGTATAAAACACACTTTTCCTGCAATAAATAAATTAAATATGAATAATTATTTGGTAAGATATGGGTTGGTTCAGCAGTATTGTAAAATGTCATCTTTGATTTACTTCTTTACTCAATGTTTATTTTGTTGTTTGTGTTTCAACGTATTGTCAACTGTTATGCCATCGTCTTTGTGTTGAAATGTTGAAAGGAAATTAAAAGAGCACTGGTAAGCTAAAAAGGAGACTGGTTCAAAGCAAGATAACAAAGGAAAATTGCTTGAGGAAATGTCACTTTTCCACAAGCAAATATCAAAAGAGCTTTTATGAACATTAAAAAAGAAAACTTTACACTGACTTAATAATTTATACCAAGATGGATAACAAATTTAGTTCTTCACCATTAATTATTTGAATACTAAATCACTTTAACAGGTCAGGAAGGTATTTGTCAACACACGCGACCATGGACTTGGCCTCAAGATAAACGGCGTCCTACCCAAACACCGCCCTCTGTTGTACAAGCTGCAAGCGAAGGACCCGGTTTCCTTGGAAAACGCAGGGCATGGACCAAACTTCATGAGTACAGAGGCCAAGACGAGATTCAGCGGAAGGCCATCAGAAAGAAGTAAGATACTTGTGCTCCTTAAAATGTGCTAGGGGAAACATCTTCTTTTACTGGAATTTTACCTTAAATCACTACAAAGAGGATGGAAATCCTTTATTTACTATATTTACATGTATTTTAAGTATTTTGTTCTCTTCAAGAAGTATTTAAGAAAATTCAAATCATGTAGAACCTTTTAATGATTAAGGAACATAGCTGAAAAAGGAGTATATTGAAGTTTATTTTGATACATGAGTGAAATAATTTAATTCTGTTTTGCTGTCCAGTGTCAATTCATCCAAATCTGCTTTATTTTATCATAAGATGAAGAAGTTCAAATTCTTTTGAATTGGAGAGGGTTAAACTATATGTTACTCAAATGTATTACTTTTTAATTGAATTGAATTAAATTGATTTGATTTATTGCAAAAACTGTTTGCAGGCTGAAAGTGTTCAATTTACAAACAAATTTAACATATAGAGGGATATAAACATATACAAAATTAAAATACATATTGTACGTTAACTTTTGCAGACATTATTTAACATTGCTAAGATGAAATCAAAATGTATAGACACATCATTGACAACTTTGATTAATTTTGCTTTTTCTTTCTTCAGAGGACTGCTCTACATTGACTGTCGGACCTAAGGAAGGGTCTGGCTACACTCATGCTTACAATGTAGAGCCCATCTCATTCCATCCTGGCTCACCCTTCAAAAACACCACACCTGTAAGTTCAACATTTGTTATCCCTTTTGTGACAATCATTTTGTGGTTTGGATCAATAACATTTGATTTAGAGTCCCCCCAAATATGCCAGATGCACGAGTAGAAAGGGCAAACACTTCTGCACATACTAAGTCCTATTTTGTTTCATGAATATCTTGCATTTGATGTGCGGAATTAAAAAAATGAAAATATGCTTTAAAATCCTGAAATTGGCAATACATTGAGAAATTCCAAATATTTGTTTTTCTTTCAAAATGTGTAATTTTTCTATTTTCAGAGACATTGGTACTAAGGGTCAATGCTTTACCAAATGTCACTAGCACAAGTACATCAGTACAACAGTTGCAAGACCACTACTCTATATACCACTGAGCCATATATTTTTCAAAGAATTTCTTATTTGCTGCTCATTCTCAATCAATCAATTTCTCTTTCACTATTCTCAATATTTAGGCATATCTTGTCCAAAAATGTTCATGTACACATGTACTGACCTCAAAACTATCCAATATTACATGCTTATGATATATATTACATTGTTATTTGTTATCATATTTTATGGTACTATATTGAGCATTTATTGTCTATTTCTTACAGGGAACATGGACCAACAGACCAACAGGAAACAGCATTATGAAGACCGATTTCTTACCATCACAACAACCATCGGTAAGAAAAATAACTCTCACTTTCATTTAGATTGAGCTCAACATAAGTCGTAATTCCTCCATGATTTTAGGTACACAAAGAAGTCTTGATATTCAATCAAGTGAGAATGCAAATACATATTTATAAATACTTTTTAATATTTTGATTTTCTGCAAATAAGAGGAAGAATCAATCAAAAGGATTCTTCATTGTGAAATCTTTAATCTGGTATTAAGATTCAGTAGAAATAAAATATTCTACAATATATATCAGTCAAGTATTTGTTTCAAAAGTTATAGCAATTATGTTAACTAAAAAAAACTCTGCATACTAGCTGTCAAAGTTGTCCACAAAACCATTGCAAGATACCAATGTGTTTCATTCAATCTGTACTTGCAGGATATAAAAAAGTTAGTAAAGTAGTACTGTATTAAAGTAGATAATATCATATCTTTCTGAATTATCATCTGCTTAAAGCTTAAAATTAAAAATATATTTCTCTTAAGCTAGATCTGTGTATCTATTGTTCGGAGGAATGTTTTTACTTCTTTGCAAATTGCTGTAATAATGATTATAATAATTTCTACTAACAGGGAGACGAGAGACTGCCAGCCATCGCAAATCGTTCCGATCACGAGACCGGCTTTACCCACGAGAAGGCCAAGCCCCTCTACGTCCATCGCGTCATGACGGATGCCTACACCAAACGGGACCAGGTCCCAGGCCGTGTCGAGGACCGGATCAGGAAGGAGGACCCTGCAGAGTACCTCAACATGACCAACCCCGACAACCACTCGAGCATCTTTAAGAAGTCGTACGAGGGCCAGCAGAGGCCGTCCCCGAGCGCCAACGAGATGCAAGGCAGGCTCTTCGTCGGGAACAAGGAGATGTCGGGATACAGTGATAACAATGACAAGCCGCAAGCTCAGATCCCTGTTGAGCCGTACAGATGGATTTCACACTACGACACCAAGTAAGTTAACTGAAGAGATATGATAATAATAATGATAATAGGTCCATTTATATAGCACAACTACTATATGAATATATTAGTTATCTACTGCGCTTAGTACAAAGCATTATGTTTTTATTACCCAGACTGTAGCTGAGCCACCATAACAGGGCTGGAACATTCAAGGAATTTCTTCCTGCATATGGCAGGGCTTAAACAAAATATCCTGATAGGAATGGTTAAAGAAAGAAAGGCAATATACTTTGGCCACATCAAAAGACATCAGAATCTCTTGAAAGATTTATTGGAAGGAAAAAAAGTATAGATACCCACTGAGACAAGTTAAACTTGGCGTGATCAATAACACCTATTCATAGAGATCACCTGCTCTTCCCTTTTGCTCCATAGTCAGATTTTCTAGTTGGTGGGTTTTAGCGTCTGGGTCACACAAAGACTTAACCCTTACAGTGCCACCCAAGTTTACAAACATGCATCATAAAATGAAATTTCATATAAAACCATTGTCAATCATAACTTAGTTTTTCTTTGTTAAATTTGATGTAAAAAATAGTGTTCCATAACATCAAACCTCAATACATATAAGTCTGTAAAGCAAAGAGAAAGGCAGCTTCTCAATAGGTCTAAAAATATAGGACAAATTTTAAGAATTCAGGCAGTCAAAAGGTTAATATGAAATATATAACTAAGTTGCAGTATTCTTGTATCATTGGATGCCCTGAGCACTTGATTATCATACAAGTGCACACTGTAATTCCATGCACATGCTACAAATTCTACACTACATTCAAACAACAACAGCAAATGATATTTATAAAATTGTCAATGAACATAATGTAAATAAACATGTACCGGTACACATAAAATAATATACTATAATTTGTGTGTTTCTATATACATGTATAAGTGAATAAAATTGTACTTTATAGATTTGATACCTTTTACGTTGAAATCAAAATATCACTCTCATACTAGGGTTATAGCCTACATGGACATGACTCATTACAGTATCATAATTAAAGGCAAGTTGTTATCATGTATTCTATGTATTCAAACTACCATTTTCCTTGATTTTTCAACTAGGTTCTACGACATGAACACCAAAGGCAGAGCGAGGGCCGGAAGGACGTTTGGAGCGGTGATGAAACAGCTTCCCGACGGTTACACCAAGAGCACCTCCGTCCACTCCTACGGCCCTACCCTGGATACCACCCACGAGCTGAGGAGCCTCCATCCATACGTTGCAAGGTAGGGATTTTATTTCTTAACCCTTTCAGGACAGCAGGTTATTTCTAGGGCTAAATTAATCACATATTGTACTTCCAATTGGCAACAATTTAGGGCTATACATGTTGTTAAAATAGAAAGTATTAATGTCTTCGAAAACAATATACACAGGCAAGAATACATTGAAAAGCTGGGAAAAATTGCTACTTTTGATTTAAAAAAAAAAGAATTTTCAATCTCTCATTATGTTGCCAATTTAAGAATTTTAAAGTGTACTTTCCTTTTTTAAATGTGTAATATATACACAACCGGTCTATATGATTTGACCTACTGTATCGCGTACACCTCTTTATATGTGTAAAATGTGTATATTTGATAACTTTGGATATTGCCATGTATGTATATTTACATTTAAGTCAGTTTATTGTTTTATGACATTGAATGTTAAGTATTCTATTCTATTTCATTTTTTCTATTATTACAGGAGCATCAAGGCTCGAGACGTCTTCTTTGATGACCACACCCATGACGCCAAGAAACATGTGACCATCAACCCTATCCCACAATTCCTTGCAGCTTCCTGTTAGTTCACGCTGTCATCTGTGGACAGAAGATGCCAATTTAAAGTTACCTTTTTAAAAATCTGTTATCAAATATATCATAAGAAAATGTTTTCTTCTGTTGGTACATTGAGATAATTTTGAACCTGCAGCATTAAAAAAAAGTGCTATCATCATTTTTAGATAGCATTCTTACAAATAAAAAAAGATTTATATATTACCTGGGGTAACATAATCACTGAATGTGATTTGAAAATACTAAGGGATTAATTAAGTGTAACAAACTGTCATGAAGTATATTATTAAATACATATGTTATTTAATACATTTCCAACAGCAAAAATATGTTCAGAAGCAGTTAATTGTCTTGTATGTTCAAGTTATTGTATGTTTTAAAATTCTGTCAAAGAAAGGGAAGAAATATTGATACCAAACCAAAAATGGGTGGCATTATTTTGATGTCACAATTTATTAAAAGATGAAGGTGGTTTCTGATATTTAAAACTAGGGGCATTTATGACAATGTAGGATTATATATAACATCATGTATAATGAATATTTTTTTCTATGTATAAAACTAGTGGCTATAATGAAAATGTCAACTTTATTTTTCAGTTGGAACATGGTAATTATGGTAAATATATGTATCTACATGTAGATCAAATGGTAAGGACGAGACGAGGTCAAACCAAGAGAAAATATTGAGAACAAAGTACATTATGAATTTTAATAAGTAATGTAATTTTTTAAAAATCAATTTCTGGAGTTTGATAAAACTAATTAAGTATGAAAATTAAGTTGAGAAACATACATGTCTTGCCAGAGAAAGATACATATGTTCTAATAAGTTTTGGATTTGAATAGTACCTAGAATATGTACTTGTAAATGGACCTTTGCTCTGTACGTTTTCATCATAATCAAGTTTATAGTTTTAAATTTCAGAAAGGAATAACCTTTTTTTTACTGTTACATTTACCTCTTTTAGTCAGATCATTTTGTTACATCATAATAATTAACATTTTTGTCTAAAGTATATTTATTTCTTAATTGATGTTTATGTTGCTGCAAGCTGTGTATCATGTCAGCTCTTATGTTAATTTTTGCATAGACCTGAATTATTTTGTTTAATCAAGTTACACTTGTAATTGTGCCAAATGTTGTGTAACTGTTTCATTTGGCATTAATTAGGCATTTTAAATTCAGGTCTTTTTTATTGATATTTGGTGATTTTTTGTTGTTTTACCTCCAGTTAATTGAGACAGAAGTTTGATTTTTAAGGTGTGCTGGTCATGCCTATTTACTTATGTGATTTGAAAATACTTTGATAAAACTTCAATTATTCATCATTTCATATTATTCAACTTTTTAATTTGGAAATAATTTGCTGAATTCTGGAATAATATTAGCACTTCATCATGGAAAATTTATGCAATTTTTTAAATGTGGAATTGTACAAATGATTTGCTCAAATCTGGAATAATAATAGGTAAACTTCCAACGGCAATGTGATCATGATTTTGTTAAAGAATTTAATAATAATGATTTATAAATGTATGTTTTAAATGTATGGACATAGCAATGTGATATTATGTGTACCTTCCTAAAAACTGTAAACCCCAAAAAGTACTTATTGCAGGCAATAAGACTCATAATTTAAGCTTAAAACATTTATTGGTATCTAAATGTTTATCTACTTTGTAAATAGCATATTACAAAAGCAATGTACACAATAAGCACATCATTTTTTCATTGTATGGGAATGGTTTTAGAGTGTTATATATGGCAATGCATGCATATTTCTTTCATGAGAAAAAAAGTTTTGGTGAAAAGCCAGTCTCATTTAGACTATATCTCTCTGTATTTGCATGTAGGGAAGTACTTATATATGCCTACCTTATCTATTTTTGTATCTTAGTATTACATGCCATAAATAGTGTCATTTAAAACAAATGTTAAGATTGAAAGTGTGCCAGCTTGCTGTTTTACCTGTGATAATAAAGTTTTTGCAATGTGGAAATCATGAATAATAAAATAAATGGTTTGGAATAAATGTATAAGAAATTTATTGATTGTCATTTTGTCTTTGCAAGTGCAGCACAAGGACCTATTGTCAATTTTAATAGGTACATTTTATTGACACATGGCTAGTTTGTGTGGGTGTGTGCGTGTGTGGGTGTGTATGCAGTGTGTGTGCTCTCTTAGAGTATCAAACCGAGGACACACCTAGGAACTGTACATTCACTTAGAGGACTGTGATGTAGTAGCGTACAACGGACAAATGTGTATGGTGTGTGTGTAGTGTGAGCATGTGCTTGAGAGGGTGTGTGTTAGGATGCATCTGTGGGTTTTTATGTACATTTGTTTAATTTTATTTCTGCGTTCAAAAAGATACAAATTCAAATTAAAAGTACACAAATTTGAACAATAACAAATACAATGAACAAAATGTTGACAAAAGTAATTAAAAAGAAAATCATGTACAATTATATCATACAATAAACATGAATGAGGCATACAAATAAGATAAGAAATATATAGTAAATATTTTTCAATAAATCTTTCAATAAATTAGTGTCTAATTCACATCAGTGTTCTCTCAATCATATCTTCTTCTTCCATATCTAGTATATTGTTCCATCCCTCATGTAGTCCATCTTCCTCTCAAATCCTTGCTTCTTCCACATACCAATTAATACTACCCCTCCCTTTCTCTGTATTTGTCTCCCCCTCTCCATCTCTTTCTGAAAAATCTTTCATCTACCGGTATCTATCTTCTTTGTTGTATCATCCTCTCCTGCAGTCTGTCTTCCTTTTCTCTTCCATGTCTACAGTCTAAAAAGCTGTATTAGCCATTTTTCCCTCTCAGAATTTTTTTTCAACATCCTGACCATTACTACACCTCCGTTTTTGTCTCACTTTCTCTGTCTTTGTCTTCACCCTCTCCACCGCTCTAGTCTTGAACCCTTCTGTCCTATTTGTAGGGTCACCCCCTCCATGTAGTCTGTCTTCCTTACAAAAATATTTATTTCTTCCATGCCTGTAAGGCTGTATAAACCACTTTCCTCTCAGAATGTCATAACTGCCATATATATGTCGGGTTGTATACCACTTTTGTTCAGAGGGTTTCACATTTCTGAGCTTCACAATACTTGACAACTTCAACAACATGAAAATGAGCTTGCAATGTTTGTGCAAGCATGTGTTGTGTGTATCATAAATTTCCCTCCAACAGAAATCACAAAAATAACTACGTCCTTGTCATCTGTGAAAATATCTGCTTTAAAAGTGTGTCTCTTTTCCTCTTTCTCTGAAAATTTCTGCCCTTTTCCTTTGTCTCTTCCCTGACCCCCCCCCCTTCCCTTCTCTCATCATTTCAATAATACACACCAGACACTAACAATCTATATAAACGACTTTAAAACAAAATAAAGTGAGTCTAGGTTTATCTTTGGCCCTTTTTTTAATTAATCAGCTGTACAAATATAGCAAGTGAATACGAATTTACAATAGAATATCACAAATTTTCAATTTATTGCTAATTAAAAAATTAACTAATCATCAGATTGACTATGAAGACATAAGATAAAATAGTACCTATCAATTACACAAAAAGGAGAAATAATAGAACATACAGCCTGTGAGAAGTCATCGATTACTGCATCTTTTTAAGAGATCTACGGTTAATTCCCAAGTCTGTATTACAAAGATTGAAAGGATTTACTATAATTTACAAACACTATTTCAAGAATTAGACAATTGGACAGAATTGTTAGACAGAGTTTGTTGTACAGTAGGCTTGCGGATGCACCATGTGAGAGAGAGGGAGGATCGAGGAGTCCTGAAAAGGACTCTCTGTAATCTTTCTTGAGGGTGTGTAGTTTGTTGGTTGTACTTTAATCATATAGAATATTGTTTCATTCTGATATCACATGCATTGCCAAGAAGTGCAATGGCAAGGGTAAAAAGTGAAAGGTTACTCAAGAATTTGGAGAAGGGAAATGAATTTGCAAAACTAAGAAACAACTGCTTCTTTTCCCACTATAAGTCAGCACATGAATAATACATATTGGAATATATGTAGTATTCTCTGCTGTAGAAATTGAAGTTGTCAAGCATATCTTGAAATTCATAAAGACAACTTAATCTCTTTAATGGATTATTTATCAGTTGTTGGGGGACATGTTCTGACTTTGCTTTATTTTGAACTCAAGTAGCACGATTGACTGAAATAATTTGCACATTTTTCACATTGCCGTGACAAATCATGCAGGCCTGTAACATTTATAAACAAAAGAAGAATTATATACATCAATGATGACAAATACAAAATACAATTGCATGTACATGACAAATTGACAAATTCATTGCAGTGTAATTCATAACTATGTGAAAATATCTATTTTTCTAACTACAAGCTATTGCATATGGGTTGTATATTCGTTTAAATATATAACTCTATATACATTTAATTTACATATATGCGAGAATGTATTGAATAATTCCATTCAATCTTTTACTTGCATGATATAAAAAAAAGAAGCTAGTAGGTAAAGTAGTACTGTATTAAAGTAGATATAACCAATGGAAAATACACGTAGGACAAAACTTTCAAGCAAGTTTCATCCACTAAAAAAGATTAATAATCTTCAAAACCTGAGAAAGTAGAGACAATTTTACATTCCTACAAGTAATGACTGATATTCTATTCATAATTAAGGCTTTTATAGAACCAATGTATATTTTCTAGACGATAATTCGTTTTGAAACAAGGTACCTGTCAATGTGCTAATTGTTAAACTCTGTAGATGTACAACATTCCACATACTTTAACATATTTTTAATTTCTTATTCTCCCTGGTTGCATATACTTTATGAAAATATGATATTATTTGAAAATTGTTAGAATGCCAACAAATTATCTCCCAAAGACTGTTCTAAATGTCATTGTTTGGTATTATCATAAAGAGCAAATAACAAACCATTTATCTTTCAATGTTCATCATAAATACTATCCAATTAATTTAAAAAATTGAAATTGCATATATATTTGGCATTTACTACGTTAGATAAACTCACTGGCACAGGGTGTCAAAGTTTAAAAAGATTTGTTTCCCCAATTCAATTAATATATTTGCGGACTATTATAAATACGTTTTATTAAAGAAACGTCATACAGAATTATCAAATATAAATCATGAAGTTGTTAAGGTACCTTGCTGATGTCCAGGGGGACTATGGACTAAGGGGACCAATGAAGAATTAACGCAATGGATTTTTAATAAAATCACAATTTAAAAAAATGAAACCTTAACACTGAATATCCATGAGACCATGACATGGGTTCAAATCTTACTAGAGCCATTGTACCACTGAAGGAAAATTGAACAAATCTAGGCCCTGTTCTATAAACGGTTGCAATTAATCACAACTTATTTGCGATTAATATCAAGCATATCTATGTACTTGACGGATAGGGACCTCAAACTTGCGATCGGTTAACAGGAGTTTCGATTGATTAAGATCTTGAAATTGAAACTCTTTATAAAACGCGGTCCAAATTTGCTTTACAATGAAAACGTTTCTTCTAGAACGAAACTCATGCTAAACAAACCAGACGACCAAAAGTTTGATGCCCGTCAAAGGTAACCAAAATATATTTTTTTCGGAGCAGTTATTATAAAGAGGAGTCATAAGAGGAGTTTCGATTGATTTAACTCTTTATAAGACGGGCTTACATTTGCCGTACAATGAGAACGCTTCTTCTAGAATGAAACTCATGCTAAACAACCAGACAACCACAAATTTGATGCTTGTCAAAGGTAACCAAAATTTTATTTTTGGGAGCAGCTTTAATAAATCGATTCCCTTCTGGCTCCTAACATAATATTTTCTGAAATTACAAATATTTGATGAAGTACAAAATTTATTTCAGACCAGAAATGATAATGAAGCTTGCAGGCACTTAGGATTCAAGTTTTGATCATATAAGGCATGAACACAGGTCATTGACAATCTATGAATTTACATGTACAAGTTAACCACAGAAGAATGCAAATATTCTTTATTGACACTTCCACAAATCTCTATGTATTTTCCGATTTAGGCTAGAGGGTGCAAAGGTCAAGTTTACCTTCCATAACGGTACAACTGATCGTAAAAGCTAATCTTGAGCTCTGGTATGGGCATCATATCGTTCCTATTTTCACAAAGTGACGGTAGTGAGGAAAATCGTCTCGCAAATTGTATGCGATTTTCTTCACTACCATCACTTCGTGAAGATAGGGACGATATGTCAAGAGAACTTAACTTGGTCCTAAGTAAATTTTTACAAAGGAACTTAGACAGAAGTCGAAGTTATTCCTTTATGACCTGTGTCTTGTAGGATGTCTGACTGATTTAGTAGAATATATGCCCTGCAGATTTCTAAAATGAATACTGCAGTTCACCCACCAACAGTTTTTAAAAAAACGACCTAATTCTATATTCTATGTGGCATAACATTTCTCTTATAATTTCTTCCATAAATGTTCAGAAGGTAGAATTCTTGTCTCTCCTGTGCAAGATAAGTGTCATAGAGCACCCGAGGCCAGAGGCTTTGTTTCTCCTTGCCGCTGAGGTGAACTATGGGAACTACCCGACGACGTCAACGTCGCTGACGACACCGTATCCAAGCTCCGCCTCCTCTTCCTCCTTGGACGAACCTCCGGTGACCCTTCCTTGACCTCAAGGTCGTCTCCGTACAGCGGAAGACTTGTTCCGACGGGTAGCGTGAAGCTCTTTCTTGGTTGTTTGCTATGGTTCTCGTACAGTCCTGGTCTGAGGGAGGCAAAGAGAGCCTCGTCATCGATGTCGTCGTCGGTGTCGAAGCCGTCGGGGCTGACAGGGTGGTACTGGGTGTAGCCGTGGCCTAACTTAGCCTCAGGGATGTATGGTTGGGTTGCAGAGGCTCCCACTGGTGGATAAAGACAGTTTAAAAGAGTAAACCATAGAGGCAGGGCTTTGGCACATCATTTTAACTCCTACTCTTTCAATGAAAGCTAATGAAACGTAGATGGAATAGACCTTAACTCTGTAAATTAATTTCTTGAAATGCTAGAGCGCTGTAATGGCAGCCGTGCTAAAACCAGGATAATAATCGGGAGTGCCATGAGTGTCAAGTCTGACAGACATGAGCGCTATACAAGAACCCACTATTATTATTATTATTAAATGGTACGTAGATAGTTGGACCAAACGGGATACAGAACTTAAAACATTATATTTGTCCTATGTCCTATTAGCACCTATGAACCTAGTGTTAAGATTGGGGTAGCCTTGAGAAACATTTAAAATATCTGATATATTTTTCAACTAAGTTGGATATTATCAAAGCTTCACAAATTTTAGTTTTTTTTATACCGGTACTCATGATAGTTTCATCATTAAGATCGCCTAAAAGAAAATAATTTTTTGACTAATATCGGCTTGGATTTAAGCTTCCCACACTTAACATTTGAGGAGTATGTTCTTGTAAATATCTCTCATATTGAAAATAGCAAATGTACTGCTACTTAATAGATTACAGATCTTACATCCCAAGACTTGCACTTACTCTGTGATTTACCTATAACTTTTATCAAAATAATTACTTTCTCAGAATATTATCTGCAGACTCATCTAACTTTTAATCGCTCATACCAAACATTTAATTAATTTTCAAACCGGGTATGCAGGTAACCTAATGTTTGTGCACTAGAAGTAGGCAATACTTTTTTATAAAATTATCTTTGATTATACAAAACTAATTTGTCTTTGAAGTGATCCTTTGTATATTTTTGGTCACCTACACTATGGGGAAATGGCAAGGGAAATATTAAAGCTTTCTTTAGTACTAAAAAGCACTACCTCGGACTGCAATTAGTATTCAACTAATCACATTTATGCAATTTTATTAGTTCAACTTTTTTGCTAACGTTTACCTTGAAGTACACAAATTATCGCTTTTTTTCATGCAAGATTATACAAAACTTTATTTCATCTACTGTTAAAGTATAGGTTTTGCATGAGTAAAATTCAATAGCAAACAACTGAATTTAAAGTCTGACTAGAAAGCTCAATTTTGTACCCATGGAATATGCCTTGACATTTCATTAAAGTATGAACATTTGTTTGATTCTACATGAAAGTTGAAAATGATGTTTTATAATCTTCTTATGTTAAGGCCTAAACTGGAACAGAAAGGGCATTTGGCAAAGTAATGTACATATAAAATTGTATATGGGAACCAGAGAATGCATGATTTTCAATCTGAAATTCTGCCTTATTTCTTGATTATGTAACTCAAAACACAATCAAAACAAGCTCCATGCATAGATATTCATCCACACATCACAATTATAAAAAGAAACTAAATTATTCAAATTTTAAGGATTTAATGATAATTCCCATAACTTCTTAAATATCTAAAAGGATTTTGAATTAAAGTGTAGAATATATATATTTTCTAAAGATTCAATACATGCAGACATACAGGCAGGCGGAACAGATTTCCTGAAAGAAAATGTTATATTACTAATATGAAAATCCCAGGACTTTTGTAAGCTTTTAATAAATCATTAAAATCTAGGCATTAATTAACAAGAAGCACTTTTATTCAATTCCCCATTTGCATTTATAAATGAAGATACTGATATTTTTCAGTGTGATAACTCAGTTCATGCAAACAATAACGTACACAAGCATTGTGTATCCTTTTCTTTATGTAAAATTTTTTTTCTTCTGCTTATATTTGAATAAAAACTCAGCTGAATTAAGTTTAACATGTTTGATCATTATGTCATTTCAAGATTTCATGCAATTCCCCCTACAAAAAGCGATTGAAAACCAATCCATGCAATGCTGCTTACTTAAAACAAGCCCCTAATCGCAATCCTTAAAAGATGGAATATACATGCAAAAGTGATTCAAGTATAAAACATTAGATGCATGACCAATATAGATTTAAGATATGAAATGAACAAAATAATAGGAGCATTCCGACTCAATGTGACACTAGAATTTAAAGTGCAGTACAACAGTGGGACAGGCTATTGTGCGAGTGAAAACAAAATGAATGTATATACCTAGTCACGCCTAAAATGTTAAAATAGTACATCGTAGCATGCACTATATATTTCCAAACCACACATTTAATTAATACATATACATTCCAAAATCTCTTTAAGAATTCTTACATAAACTTCAAAGCCTGCAAGAACGGCAAAGTTGAAAACATGAAGAAGAAACAAAGATGAAGTAAAAATTGATGAGATCAAGAATGCACCGAATAGTAATAAGAAATGAGATTCCAAAAGCAATCTAGAATGGCAATTTTAGTTCGTAGCCCCCTAAGCTCCTGCTTTTTCCATTTTTAAATCTATTCAGAATGCATAGCCATCAAGTTAGAATTCTCAAGCATATACTTGAAAGTCAGTTACCTTGACTCCTCTTCATACTACACAGATTTTGAAGTTAAAAGGAATATAAACAGAAGGGTTACAAAGTGTTTCCTTACATGAACGGTAACACACTTTTATTACATTATAGTAAAAAAGAAAATCTTGACGAAAGTACATATCGACTCATTTCAATTTGCACGATAGATTAAGAATTTTATTCCAATTCCATACATAGATAGCGCAAAATGTCATCTGGAATACAAAAGAGATATTTTCATAACACAGGCAAAAATTACCTTTGAATTATTTAAACAAGATGCATTCATTCAGTGCTTCATAAAAATACCCAACGGGAAAAAAGGAATCAGATTTTGAAATGCGTGTAGAGATGGTGAAAATCAACCAAAAATTACTCTATAAATGAATTGTTGTTGAATACTGAGGCTCACTAGAAAGTAAAGAAGATGGGACTACTCACCACTGGAATGTGGTCTTGATGAGAGGGGTGAATCGGTGCCCCCCTCACTGCCGGTAGCAGGGTCGAGATCCATCCCATCATAGGTCAAGGTGTACCTATCATCCGTGGAGGTACGCCCTTTCACGTTACCCTCTTCATCAAACATATGACTGTTACCTCCCCGGAACAAACTCCAAGGTCCAACCGGGGATGGTGAAGTCTTAACGGATGTTTCCATCTTGTTGTCATGGTTACAAGGCCTTGATTCTATGGTAGCCGTTGTCATGACTGCGTTTGGTTTGTCAGAGTCCTCCCCGGAATCTTCGGTAGTGTTATGCAAGGTCGATTGGGATTCGTTTGCGACGTAGTAACAGTAGCCTTCGTCTTTGGTATTTGGGAAACCTTGGAAGCGGTCGAGAACGGACGAGTAGCTCGTGGAAGAGATGGAGGACCTCGCTGACTCGGTCGTTGTGAATGACTCACTGCTGGCCAGTGGGGCCAGACGCTCGTGTAGTGCACTGCCCTCACTTTGGCAGTTTGAGGCAAGGTTCGATAGAGTTGTAATGGGCTGGTAATTTTGGGAGTTAGTTCTTAGTTTATCATCAGGAATAGATCGCTCTGCTTTATCAGAAAAAATCCCACAGTATCCAGAAAACATGTTGTAGGTATAGAGAAGATCAAGTACCAATTGCAGAGATGTTTTCCATAGGAAATAAACAAGATTGGAAGAAAAACGAACAATATTAAAGCAATTTGAAGAAATCACAACACTATAAAGTCATGTCTGAAATTAGAATTGGACATCAGCCAACCAAATAATAGTATCATACTATTTGAAAGACAAGGCGATAATGTCAGCTGTTTTTCAAATCTGGAGGCTAGAAAATGGGCTATGAACAATGGATTTCAAAATAAATTTGGAATCGTATACCAAAATTTAAATTATATGTCAGTCCCTACAGAGCTGTACAGAAAGAATACCAGCTGTTCTGCAGGTGTACATGCTAGACCAAAAAGGATGTTGTCGTTAACAAAAGAGTACGGTTGGCATATGCACCAACATAAGTATTCAAAATAACTTTAAATTTGAAATTCAAATTCACTTTCGATTCCACTGAAGTTGGATTGTCAACCTATCTAAGTTGTAAGGCAAGAATGGCAGCTTCTCTTTTTTTTGTTTAATCAGACAAAATAAATTGGAATGGGAAATCACATTGAAGTTTAAAATAAATTTGGTATTGAAAATTGGAAATCAATTTGAATTTCCAGAATAATGGATTGTCCACATACTTGAAGCCAAAAGCAAAAATAGCAGCTATTCTTTAGATACTGAAATATTACAGTCACACTTGTTTCCAAAATTTAAATTGGAAATGAAAAGTGAAATAGTTGGAATTCAAAATTGGATATTGGTCAAATTGGACAGTTAACATACCTGAGGCATATTAAAGGTAAGAATACCAGTAACAGTTGCCCTACTGGGTGTGGGGGCTCAGCCAGAATGGTAAGTTAGAGTATGAAATAACATTTTATTTCAAAGTCTAATTATGAATTAGAATTTAGATTTGACTTGAAATTCAAATTGGGTCTGACTTAAAATTCAGATAGAATTTCACTCAAGTTGAAATGTCCTACTGCCCGGCCCAAGGCATGAGGCAAGAATGACAGGTGTGGAGGCTTAAGACTAGGAATTTAAGGCAGGGAAAAACTTGGATTTAAAATTAACTGAGGGTAGACCTAGAGGCAAGTCATTGTTTTAATTGTTTTTTCTAATTTTATTGGGAATTTAAGTTTGATTTCTTTTTGATTGTTGGATTTCATCTACAATTTGGATTTCAAATTCAAATTTGAATTAGATTTTACATTCGACTTGAAATTTGAATTAGATGTCACTCAAATTGGAATTTCCTCCTACCCAAGGTGTAAGGCAAGAATGGCAGCGTTCTTAAGGTGTGGAGGCTTAAGATTAGTAACTTAAGTCAGGGAACAAATTGGATTTCATATTAACTTTGGTATTACAAATTTATAATTCAAATTGGATTGCAATGAAGTTTGAGTGTCCACATACCTGAGGGATAAGGCAAGAATGGCAGGTGCTGGATTTGGAGTTCAAGTTTGAATCCTTTGATTGTTGGATTTCGTATCATTTTGGGTTTCAAATTTAAATTCAAATTGGATTTCATTCAAACTGGAATGACTTTGGGTGTTGAGGGTAGACTAGAATATTAGGTTGGAGAAAGAACTCAGATTGGATTTCAAATTAAATTTGGAATTGAGATTTGGAATTGAAAATGGACTGCCCTCCTACCTGAGGCAAAAGGCAAGAATGGCAGCTGTTTTTCTGGTGTTGAGGATAGACCTGAAGGTACATGTAAGTAGTTGTTGAGCAAACAGAAGTTGACATAGGAACTAACATTGGATTTAAATTGGATTCAAATTGGAGTTGGGATTGAAAAATGGAATTTAATTTGGATTTCAATCAAGTGGGAGTTCACATACCTGAGGAATAAGGCAAGAATGGCACCCGCTCTTCAGGTGTTGAGGGTAGATCTGAAGGCAAGTTGTTGTTGGATTCTGAGGCTTTGTTTCCCCATCTCTTGGTAGGTGAGGACTTTTTGGAAGACCCTGATGATTTGGAAGGGGAGTCCTGGAGAGATTCATGGAAAAAGAAATTTTAAGAAATGAACATGGAGGCGTGATGGCTTAGTGGTAGAGCAGTGGTCTCGTAACTGGGAGGTCCCGGGTTCGAAACTAAGTCGATGCGCTAGTGTCCTTTGGTATCAAGGCATTAATCCTCATTACCAAGTCCCCCGAAGAAGACATAAAGCTGTCGGTCCCTCGTTACTTACAAAGACACAAACTTTTGTAGCAGTCAGGTAAAACAAACAAACAAATAAACCTAAAAAACATGTATTTTAGCAGCTCAAATGCGTTACTACTTATATGTATATCAGCTGCTAGGTTAATGCTCAGTCGCACAAGGGAAAACTTAGGCTCAGTGGAAATCTGGTTGAGTCATCCAAGAGAACTAAACCACAAAACAAAATCACAAATACTTACTTGCATTTCTGCATGAGTCGATCTATTACATGTAGATCATCCACATTCAAGATTAATTTATATGAAACGTACAATGGTTACTACAAAGATGATACTGGAAATGAATCTCTACAAAACAAGGAAATATAATTATGTCTATTTAGATGAAGCAATGATCTTGAAACCTCGTCAAGCAATGCCAAGTTTGCCCTGATTAAAAGTTGGCCTAATCCTGTTTAATAATAGAAATTATGTTACTGTAATTTTATTTACTTAGTACCTTTTTCCAGAGGATACAGGCACTAGGTGTCTCGTAGTCTATGAACAAATTAAGAAGATTCGTAGAGATGTATTTTGAGATTATTATTACTTATACCGTGCTTTTCCCATAAGGCCAAAAGCGCTTACAGTGAATGAAAATCAAAATGATATAAATACATATAAGAAAAGGAGTCTTACAACTACAAACTGCAAAAAAGATGTGTTTTAAGGCCTTTCTGAAGGTAATAACTGATGGAGACTGCCTAATTCTAAGAGATGTGTTTTGAAGAAGTCAAGAGAAATACTATTTCTGAGAAATGCAAGGAAGTTTATACCTGGAAATGTACAGTATGACCACCCTCTCTGGCTGGCTTCATTTGGAGGTAGGACGACCGGGAGGATGATGAGGAGGGTGGTTGGTTGAAATCTTGACTCGGAGATGGGGGACTCATGGGGGTCCTGCCGACCTGCGAAAAGCGCTTCGGTAGTCCATGCCTCTTGCCATACTCCATGCACTATTGTAAGGAGAGAAAGAAATAAAAGACATGTCTTAATTAGTGGACCTAGACCAGTGGAGGGCGTTTCACAAAACTTGTCATCGGTGACAAATGACAGTTTTTGTTATAAGCTACTAAAACCCTTCCTTCTGATTGGTTATCAGCAGATTTGTCACTGATTTTTGTAACTTGTCATTGAAAAAAGGCTTTGTGAAACAGGCCCCCAGCTGGTAGTAATTTTTAACCAAAACTATGCTTGATGCAGAAATTCAAGCATATGAATACTGAATTTATTACACCCTTTCTTTGGAGAAGGTTTTTTTTTTTTAATGTGTACAAACTAGTTTTGACCTGGTGAGAATACCTACACAGGATGGTTAAGGGTAAGACAGGATAACATTATAAAAAAGATATATCCTTCCAACCTCCCATATCCAAGTTTTGGGCTGATTATTAAGAACCTTATCAAGAATCCAATGAAGTTAATGATACTTGATAATGACAGAAAAAATTGAACCTTACTCAACTTGCTTATATTCATGAAGTCACATATTCAAGAGCTGAGACTAAATTAGACCACTAGAACCTGGATAGAGCTATTTTTAGAGTAGGTTGTAGTTCCTGGACCAGAGTACAGAGCTTATCATGAGCTGTCATACATGTGATACCTTCTGGTAAATGGTCTTTGACAATAAGACAGATTTTAAAACCCTTGCCAAGATTATGAATTCCAAGTTGGCCATTTCAAATGACTACTTAATAGGCTACTTTAGACTAGTTAGGTCATAGTTCCTGGACCAGAATATACAGACCCCATTGAGAGCTGTCATGACACCTCCTGGCAGATGGTCCTTGATGATGACTGGAGAGATGAGAACCTCACTGAAGTCCTCTAGATCCCTCCAGATACCGTAGTAGGCACAGTCTTTCCTGCTGATACTGGGTGGCAAGAGAAAGATAATAAATTATTGAGTGGATATTCGATCCAATCTTGAATTTGCATGTACGTGCACATGATTAAGCCTGCTTTAGAAACCACTGGTATGGAAAGACGACCTGTATAAAAATACCGCCTTTGTACAGAGACCACATTTTTATTCAAAATGCCCCATCCATTGAATCACTCAAAACCCACCTTTTTCATCAGTTATAGTATACTGAAGGCGCACACAAGTAGTTAATTCCATTTAACTGAATTGTATTGTATTAGTAATATTTTATTCTATTTTGTTGCTTTAAAGTTATTAAACATGTTGAATATTTATACTGAGTTAGGCAGTACCACCTGTGCGCTTAGAAATGCCTGTATTAAGGGCCATATAAACGTAATTATTATTATTATTTACCTAGACCAGTATCTTTCATTTAAAGGATCTTGTTTACTGTTTAAAATGCTCAGTAGCTTTAACAGACAGTCTTGGGTACTTCCTGTGAGATTAATATATACGTTTAACATTACACTTGTTTATTTACTTCTTTTTCCTTTAAAAAAACATTCTTTTATTTATCTACACCCTAAATATATCTATACTGGCATGGAAACCAATACACTGGCTCCCTTCAAGTCAGTTTACAACAAAGTACACAGTTTTAACAAATTAATAAATATTTCAGTTCGTTTTATAAGCACGTACTATTTACTTTTTTATAGGCACTTGGGATGGACACTAGCCCATAATTAATGCTGGCATTCATTTTCATATCTTTTGTCCAGGAAGGGGGCTTGTGTGTAGAATTTGTGTTGTGCATATTCTAATCAGCTTCTTAAACTCTCACAATCATGAACCCAGTACACCATTTTCTAATCCTTCTGTATTCTGTTCTGTAAAGCGCAAAGAGACCTGCAACTATGCCTATGTGTTATGCGCTCTAATTGGGCCTAAAAAAAAATGTTGTATTGCCCTTTAGGTGCCAAAACATGGGTCGGTTGGTCGAAAATCTTCTTCTTTTTTGGGGTACTTTTTTCAATTTTTTTACTCCCTCTTTGAGCTGATATTTCTCAGTTTTGAATGCTTAAATATATTTTTTTCTCTAAAAAAACCATATATAAAAAAAAAAAGGTTTAATCATTATTAGTAATCTTACCCCTCTCTCTTGTGGTTATTGCGGACAATCTGCAGCACCCTCCCTGGTAGGAAGAGGGGGCTGTGCGTTGACAGCACTAGGGCGTGGTTGGTGGGGTGGAAGGCTTTGTCGAGCCGGCATGGATTCGGAGACGGCGCATCCACGTCTTCAACAGGGGCTAGATTCTTGGAATGGACCGTACAGCAGCAGAGCAGCTCACCCATTATTACTCTCCACTATAGTGAAAGAAAATGTGGAACAGATATTAAAGGAGGAGAAAGAGTCACAACTTACAAATAATGATATAAATTTTAAGCATGTTTTGGTATAACAGCATGCAGGTTGAGGTTTGCTAAAAAATTGAACCTTGGAAATAGAGAGGTTTTCATTAAAGCGAACCGTGGAAGTGGAAAGGTTTGCTCAAAGGCAAACCTTGGAGAGGGCCCTGTTTTTAAAAGTTTTATTCAGAGGTGCTGTGTTATTTCAAGAAAATAAGTTAGAAAAATTCATAAAACCGAAGTACTGTTTTTCTTTTTCCTAGCTAGAATTCTTTTCTTGCTCTCCATATAATACCAAAATTAGGACTACAAAACCTTTACAATATTGAACAAATATTAAGACTTGGATGAAAAGTCTTTTTCAAAATGGCACAGGTTCAGCACAAACCCCCAAAGCATGTTCTTGCTTAAAAAACTCACCACTTAGGTAATACTTTTCTTCCATAAATATACTGGGCATAAACATCATGGTATTTCATACTATTACAATTTGCAACCCAAATATACTGATTGGATTTTGTGAAATGTAAGTTGATGAATAAATCCAAATAACGTATATTTTCATCATAAAAAGCATTTTTGTGTGCAATGGCTTACTTCTTCAATGTAGATAATCATTAAATGTTAATTCATTTCAAATTTACTACATTTTTTGTTTTATTCATGATCTAAAATATGGAAAAAAATTGTCACATTCATAATAAAATATAACAAAAATGAAACAAGCTAGTGAACATTTACATTAAGTTGTTTTAACAGGTTCATTAACAAACAAAAAACTATTATCAACCTGTTAGAATAGGTGTGAAATTGCAAGTTTAATCAATTTGATGGGTGTATTGCAATTGCATAAATATATATACATATTACTCAGGAAAATTAATCAACAAAAAGTCATTCTCGGTGGATTATTATTATACGAAAGTGGAGTGAGCTTTGACAATCCTGTATATTAAATCAAGCGCTTTGGCCTACCTTGGGGTCTCTGCACATCTTGATGCAGTTGAGGAGATCAGCCCGGAGGAATTCCATCTGAGATAGACCGATCCTAGCAACAACATCCTTCCCGACCACTAGAGAGGTTACAAACTCAGCGGCATGCTCAGACGCTTCCTTGCTGGAGGTGGTGGAGAGAAGAATTGAAGGTGTTTGGAAGTTAAGTTTCATTCTACAAGGTCCTGTAATATCATTTAGATTTGACTAAATTATTAGCTGTAAACATCATGTACTTTGGTTTTGCTGTTTTATGTTCTGGATATCTTTGTCATCACCATCACCACTATCATTTTTATTGTCACCATGATCATTATCCTCCTCCTCATCGTCATTCTTACCATTCTAATATTCACAAGAAGCACCTCCATTACCACCAACTTCACCATCATCATTATCATGATACTTACTCATTTAAGACTAGTCTGGTCTGATTATGATATCGAATATGACCATTCTACCCACTCCCCCGAAAGAATAGCCTATAATCTAGGCGGAGTGCCGAGCTTTTTTCTTTGCTGCTGGACTAACCTTAAGCAGAACGTCTGATACGGCGAGACTACGAACCGTGAGCTGCGAAGCGGCTCACCGCCTATAATCACTGGTCTAGCTAATCAATATTCATATATATTCAAAATGGCGGATCTATGAATCATTCAACAGCCCTACCAAATAAGGTACACCTATGTTACGTTCGACCAATCAGATATAAGACAAGGGGATTCCTTGGTATATTGCACTCTTTCCAAAACCAGTAGGTAATGCAACAAAAATATCCCTGCCGGCTTCAATAACGCTACGAATAGCGGATTCCTGCAGTTCTCTGAATTTTCCATTAGGAATGCCTAGTTTGTTGGCCGCATATGATAAACTTTCTCGCAGAAGATCGTCGTCGCATGAACTACCCGCCATCTTGGATGAAGAAAATGACGTAATGTCACGTGATTTATAATATGCATATGCATAGACTCTTCTCCATACGTGTTTCTGATTGGTTGAGTTCATTTCGTATTCATGAGGTTTTTTCGTACGAAAACTGCCACGGATTCATGGTCGATAATAAATAAAAAACGACTAAAGCTAGACCAGTGATTATAGGCGGTGAGCCGCTTCGCGACTCACGGTTCGTAGTCTCGCCGTATCAGACGTTCTGCTTAGGGTTAGTCTAGCAGCAAAGAAAAAAGCTCGGCACTCCGCCTAGATTATAGGCTACCGAAAGAACCAACTATCAACAATAACCATCATCATCATCATCATCAAAAACATCATCATCATCATCATCATCATCATCATCATCAACATCATCATCATCATTATCACCATCATAATCATCATCATCATCATCATTATCACCATCATCATCACCATCATTATCACCATCATCACCATCATCATTACCACCACCACAACCACCACAACTTTCACTAAAATCACAACTACCACCACCACTAATACCACCATCACCACCACCACCACCACCACCACCACCACCACCACCACCACCACCATCATCCAACTCACCATAGCAACCCTCCTGGAGGAGAGTAGGCATAGACCTTGAGTGAGGGGTAGTCTGGTCTCAGCATGATACCCAAGATGGCCGCTATCCCAGCTCCCAACGAATGACCAACTAACAACAGTTGATAATTCGGTGTTCCTCTTTCCTATGGAAGTGGTTCAGGGAGAAAAAGTGGCTTTGATTAAAATGGAGCCTTATTTTTCTAAAGGCTCTTTATATGGAGAAAAAAATCTAACAAAAAGATAGAAAATCTGAGATATAGCCCTACAGTCAATAACAAAATTATTTATACCCTTTGTAAACTTGATGTTTTTTTTTGTTCTTGTAACTCTAGAATTTAAGTTGGGCGGGTTGATTTAGGGCCTTTGTTGAATACTTTTAGATTCAAATGTTAATATGTCACATTCTTAAGAAACATAAGTTGGGACAAATTAAAAGTTCACATTCTTGATAAAGTACATACCTGGGAAAGGGTATGAATACTTTAATTGGCGAAATTCACCAAATATGGCATGCTGTATCGATCTTTGTAGGCCTACTCTTTTTTTTCATAATCAATATCCTTTTTAATTCCTTCTTCTGCAAAGGTTAAATATAAAAAGAGACAACTAGTAAAACTGTGAACATTAGGAAAAATCGGAACAGCTGGTAACAAAAAATATGACCACAGTTGTTGATTGTGGTAGCACAGAGTATATTCATAGATTTCACTTAAATCATTTATCTACCAGCACTATGAATGCAGTTTCTATTGTAAAATTATAAACCACAGTATTTTAAACATTACAAATATGGCAATTGCCAACATACCTCATCTGAAGTGAATGCTTGGTGGAGTAACATATCGTCTATCAGTCTTCTTTTGATGTAACTCGCTGCTGCCACCATACCCTGTAAAGAATGACATGAAAATGTATTACCCCGGTAAGTGGGTTACTGGTATGAAACATGACTCAAAGGCACTGAGCACTACGGTTGTCAGAGCTAAAGCCGGGATAATGATATCCAAGGTCATTTGGAAGCACATCAAGATATTATATGATCTGTTATACAATATACAAGAAAGGCATATTATCATTATGAAATTGATCTTTGGGCTTTTGTAAGCGTGGTCTGTAAACTATCCCTCCGGTACACCGTTTCTTGAAACTAGAACAACTACCCCCTTTGACAATCGCCCCCCTCCCCTCCAAAAACAATCCCAGGACTTAGCCCCCCCCCCCCCCCCCCAATTCAATTACCCTGAGCTAAAGTGGTATTTAGAATTATTTGAGGTAAGTATTTCTGGGCGTAGTTATTTGGAGAAGTTGATAATATTCCAAAAGATTTATTTTCTTGGAGTACTCATCTTTGCAGGGCAAATTGTGATGGGGGGGGGGGGGGGGGGGGGAGGTGTCCAAAGGGTAGTTGGTTAGAAAGTTTATATTATAACAAAAAGGGAAAACAATTTCAACACTTTCGGTCTTGCACATCCATTAATTTTAACAGAACAATTAAATCAGGTGTTCTGCTTATTACAAGTGTGGGGAACAAAGAGGGCATATTCCACAAACTATAGTTTTAATTTCAGATGAGAACAATCATGCATTAGATATCTAACATGTCCCACAGTGTCTTGAGCCGAGAGAGGCTCATGTCTTAAACAATTACAAAGCATTGAATGGTCAAGCTCCAAATTATTTGTCCGAGTTATTATCTTATCAATCACATCTATATGCACGTAACTTTTGAAGTACACAGGACAAGCTGCTTTTAAAGCTACCTCACACAAAAACAAAAAGTAACTCTTGGAGATTGTGCTTTCAGTTGCGCTGCTCCCCCGGCCCCCCCCCCCCACTCAGTGTTATTTAGGGTACGCATATGCGTGTTCCAACCGACCCCCCCTTTTCAGCAAAAGTCCGGTGTGTAAAGTCAATACGGCTCGACCTTTTTCTTTTGTATACAAGCCTTTTTCAGCACCCCCCTCCCCCCTTTTCAGCAAAAGTCCGGTGTGTAAAGTCAATATGGGTCGACCTTTTTCTTTTGTTACGAAAAGGACATTTTGGCAACACGCATGGGGTCCGTCCGTTCTCGGAATGGGGGGGGGGGGCCGGGGCTGCTCCAAAGCTTTGGAATAATCTAATAAAGAAAGCCTTATCTGTTACTGTCTTCCAAGTTTTATTGAAGATGTACTTGTTTTCAGGAGCTTTTAAATAGTTTCTACTGTGTGCCTGTAAAGTAGTACCGTTTTTTTTTAAAGCACCGCGCAGTAGAGTGTATTTATATAGTAGCTGCACTATACAAATTGATCTTATTACAGTCGAACCTACTTTAGTGACCACCTGTCTACAAGGACCACATTTTTTGTTTTCCTTGAAAACGGTTTCTCATTGAAACATGTACTAAAGGAACCTGTCTACAAAGACCACTTTTTGTGTTTCCCTTGGGCGGTCGCTGTAGATAGGTTTGACTGTAGCTGCATTATACAAATTGATCTTATTATTATCTCCTCAACTTATTATATATGAGAATGGTGATTGTGGTTAATTTACCTGACTGCTAAGAAAGCCTAAATGCTTGAAAGTAAGCAACCAGATGGCCGACAGCTTTAGGTCCTCTCTGAGGGACCTGGTAATGAGGATTAATGCCTTACCAAAACGCACTAGCGCATTGACTTGGTTTTGAACCGGGTCACCGGATTACGAGACCATTGCTCTACCGACTGAACTATCGCGTCTCCTCGAAAGCTTACCTTATGACCCTGGTACGGTGACTCCTCGTCTTGACCCGAGATGGGGCTTGTGTCTGCGCTGAGGTCAGTCACGATGTCGGCGACAGACAGCGTGCCCCTGATTGACACCACCACACGACTCCTCTCATGATCCAATGCTACGAAGAATGGCGTCTCCCACACCTGATGGTTAAACAACCAAAAATATCTCAAAAATCATCCCTCTACCTCATCAAATTGGCAACATTAATATATCCTTTCCACTTTTACACTTTAATGACAATTACTGATCATATGAAGAAAAAATAAATTCTTTGCACACAAACTAGCAATATTCCAATTGGCTAGTTTGAATAATTGAATGCCTGTAATGAAATCAATGAAATCAAATCAATGGGTGGTATTCTCGAAAGCGGACTAACTTTAGTCCATTATTTAATCCACCGACTAAGTATGGAATGCCAAATGTCCATAGGAATATATTTTTGAATAATTTGATATGTCCCTAAATTACCCTGATAACATTATTATGTCAGAGTTATATTGTTGTTTATTAATTATGTAATTACATTTTTATTTAAATTTAGTGACAGATTAAATTTTTCAAAAAAATATTTGTTATGGACACTTGGTATTCCATACTTAGTCGGTGGATTAAACCATGGACTAAAGTTAGTCCGCTTTCAAGAATACCACCCAATTACTTTAATATAGTTCACACACAAACATATCTGATATCAATTACTGCAGTGACTCCAATTAGTAAGTTCAATCAAGCAACTTGGGCCCGGATATATAAAAGCCATAGCTGAAAGCCTGAATGCAAGTTACATGTACATGTATTATTATCAGCATTCTGAAAAATCAATCAATCACAATAAAGCTTGTAAAATGTTAATCCATTGTCCATAGGAACCAAGAGGTCCATGTATTAAGCCTATGGTAATTAGAGAATTAGTAGTCTATGTGTTAAACATAATGATTGTCTTAAATGGCCAACATTTTACAGATGCATTTGACCTTAGATGTGTTCACCACAAATTTTCATACAATGTACATCAGATCTTTATTTGAAGCCGCATCTATAAATGGAAACAATCAATAAATACAAAGATTTTTATTTTTATTTGCTTATTTAACATCTAAAAAGTGCAATTCTATTGTGGATATATACACAATTGTGCCATTAAAGTCAAAATGTTTTTTTTTTTAAATACAAAAAATGATCCTCTCTAAAAGGTTACCAGTAATCATGGTGCAATTTTGTGAACTGCCTCCAAGGCATAATATAACAGGATTAATATGGACCATTTCATTTCTTTTCTAGTCAATAAATGACAACTATATTGTTAAACCTGCGGTTTTATGGTGTACTGAACATGTAGTTGTGCATTTAAATGTGTAATGAATGAAAACATAATTGTCAAGTTTTAAAAAAGCATTTGCTATCAAAAAATATTTAATGTTCTAAAGGTACCATAGTGTAATATTTTATTCACTAAAACAAGTCTTTCTTTGAATATTAGGCTTCCTGTGGGTAGTTTGAGTTTGTAAAGAAACCCAGTAAATAAAGATTGCATGTATGATCTTGTAATTACAACAAAAAAGACTTTCTTGTTGAAATAATTCCTGAATTTAAGCAAAGAAAGCAAAGTTGATACAACAAACACATAATTAAGTGCACAGTTATTAAAGGTAATCCAAAGTTTTGGGAAATTTTGAAAATTGGGTGGATAGTAATTCTTTACAATTTTGATATATTTGGATGCCCCTGTGGATGTATTATAAGTACTGGAAAATTTAGCCCCTAAAACACTTCTGCTTTCGAGAAAAATTGAATATAAAAATTTACAGGTACTCCCGGTCAATTTTGTTAATTTTAAATAGCGCCTACGGCCGTACAATGGTAGCTGCGATCATGAAAATCTCAGAATATGTAGCTGTGGTATATAATTTCCAAACGGAATTAGAAAATCGGTCGTTTATTGTCAAAAAACACTGTTTTATAGCTTAATTAATATCTTGACCTTGAGAGGGAGCTATACAACATAAAGAGTTTATTATTTACAATTTTATAACTTTAGGCTAGATTACAACCGCAGAAACGATCACTGAATATTGTAGGATCGAATATGCTTCCAATATGTTCATTTGAACCAAATTCATGAGCCTCTTCCAAAACTTTGTATTACCTTTAAGAGACTCTGTAAAGTGCTGCCTAGATTGAAATTGGTGCTCCCCCCAAAAAAAAAAAAATAAATAAATAAATAAATAAATAAACTTATAGGATTGTCTTTGACCACAGTTTCATTATCACATCATGAACATACATTGATACTGTCAAATAATAATAATAATGTCGAACCAGAACTTTTGCATTTTGCAAATTTGTGCGATTTACAATTTCTGTTATAATGATTGCTATCGGATTTACCCACTTATGAACCGCCATCATGCAGTTCACAAGCAGGTAAATTATCAACATAAAATATTATATTAATTACGGTTGGTCATTTTCTAAATATTTAATCTAATTTGAAGTAATGAATATATATACGAAATACAAAATGTATGAAATATTTCTATGGTTTCCATGTACAAAAATATCTTTCAGATCATTTTTTTTCTTCATATTTGTTATAATTATTATGCTTAAGTCCTGTAAAACAAAATATTTCTGTACCATGTGAATGCATTTTTCTAATAAATGCATTATACGAGACACAAAACTTTCAAGATTCAGAACCACTTGTAAAATATGTGAACCTTAAAATTTGCAAAATAATAGTAGCAGGCACAACAAAATCAATTTCTTCTTCTTCTTTTGTGTGACACAGGAACAGAGTAAAAAGTAACTTATTGTTGTTGCAAAATTGATGATGATGGGGATGAACGACAAGATTTCTATTTTGAGATGTTGAAATAATAAGTCAATATAATTATTTGATTTCATAACTGTTTTGTATTTTCTAAAACTTTGATTAACAAAGCATAATGAAATATAATGTACATACATCAGACTGGAATGGGGACATGGGGCATTTCTCCCATTTGTTTTAACTAGAAATCAATGTTCACTCCATTTCTGTTCAAGTATGTAAAATAAAAGTGCTGACGATGACTCATTACCTAGTTATAAGTTCAGTGAGTTAGTGAAATTAGTTGTATAAGTTGTATAAAAGCAGTGTGTGGAATTCTAAACCAAAGCTCTTTCAATCTGTGCAAAATAAAAGGCAGGAACCTTGCATTATTAGTTTGATAAACTCATAATTCAGTAAACTAGCTTGTAATACCTGCAATGTTAAATCTGTTAAAAAGGGTAATGATGTGATAATATTGAATAGTGGGTTCTTGTATAGCGCTCATATCTGTCAGACGTGACACTCCTGGTGCTCCCGATTTTTACCCTGGCTGCCTTTACGGCCCTCTAGTATTTCAAAGAATTAAATACTACTAGGTACCCATTTACAATGTCTTGTCAAAGGACATTAGTGCCGCGGCAGGAAGCGAACCACGGACCTTGGGATTCACAGTCAGGTGGCGTATTGCATATGAAGATTATGATTGTGATTTTGATTGTGATCTCGAGACTGCACTATGTGCCCCCCCCCCCCCGACTATGTCTTGGGGCACAGTGCAGTTTTGAGATCACCTTAGGCAATAGTAAGCAAATAATTACCGTTGGTGAAGGTGATTGGACGAACTATCAGTGCATGCAGTACTTACGTACATACATATACACAACGTAAACAAGAAAGTGCGTTGCACTGTGAAGATAGTACTCCTATCTTCAGTAAAAGTGTGTTGCATTGTGTAGATAGTACTATTATCTACACAGTGCAACAAACTTTTCTTCTCCCATCAATGATGGGTGAACTATCTTTCATCACATGATTTACTTTTGACCAATCGTAGAGCAAGATTTTTAGTATGTGGAATATAATAATATTAACCATGCCACTCAAAGCAGTCAATATCTGTATATTAGATCGTTATCTATCACTCTACACTTGTCCCATCATCCATATATTATGAAAATATATATATATGATATCATCCCAATAAGCTAACGTATATTATAGAAGCCGCATTGTTAAAAACTGTGCTGTAAAAGCATTATGATGTCACACTGCACGACAGGCAGTCATCTCTGCATGAGTTAGTACTGCATCGTGCATCAGACCATGCATGCATAAAGTCATAAGGTGGATAGTTTTACCTTGGCCGCGGACCTTGCCTTCGCAACCTTTCTCTTCATGCGAGGTTGTCTAACTACCTTACGAGCATGCTACGTGACAAACCACACATAGATAACTGGTTACATGATCATTCATCATTCTGTATGTCATAGTGTACCTTTGAAGCCAGAAGGGCGTTAACGCATATAATTTAACCTAGAGTTAAAGGGGAAGTCCACCCTGATATTAAGTTGGTTTTTGATAAAAGCTGAAAATGAGCAAAACAAATTAGTAAAAGTTTGAGCAATATCCGATTAAAAATATTAAAGTTATGAATTTTTGAAGTTGTCATCAGTGAAACACAAATTGGCAACACTGTGACATATCTACCAAGCTCCTCTCCAATTTACTCTGTACAGAAATTTCATTTACCAGGGGTACTTTTATTTTCTTAGCTATTGATGATAGAATAGATTTGTGTCATACAGGGATTGTATGCAAAAACATTTGCAAGAATTATATTTAGTGTGAATGTATGACTGAAAATCTTCTGAAGGGAAAATATAACATTTTGAAAGATATATTGTAAACTGCAAATGAGAAAGGACCTTGCAAGATAGGTCACAGAGTTGCCAATTTGTGTTTGATTGATTGCACCTTTCAAAAATTCATAACTTTCTTATTGTTAGTTGTTTTTTGCTCAAACTTTCACTGAACTTATTATTAAAAAATATTTTTCTTCTTCTACTAAAACAAATTATATATCAGGGTGGACTTCCCTTTCAACACCGTTCGAAATGACAATGCCTGCTGAGAGCCAGAAGGGCACAAGTTTACCCCCCCTCTGTAGGCAAGTAAGGAACATATCGTCTGTTCACAGCCAGAAGGATATTAACTCTGTGCTAAAGCAAAGGGGTTAACGCCCTCCTGGCTCCAAACAGATGATACGCATACATTTATAATAAGTATACCATGTTTGGTCTACACTAATCGATGCCATGCTATGAAACAATAAATGCATATGACATATTTGTTTCTGATGACATGCATCTCTGTGGATGTCTGTCACATACAAGCATATGAAAGGTCAATAAAACTGTTTGTCCTATCTAAAAGATTACACCAAGTTAAAAAAGTGAAACAAAATTTATCAAACGGTCAGTGATCATTAGCTCCTTTATGATACCAATTTGTTCACCAAATGTCACTGTGATGATTATAATGACCTATTGTCTACAGGTTTTAGTACAAAACAGTGTACAGTATGTGGGAATTATTGTCATATTGTCAGTATGTACAGGAAGTCATACAGAGTTCTACTATAAATGTGTAAGTATTATACAATACACATAACGTTAACATGCACTATCAAATTCATGTATTATACAAGAAACACATCAATTGAAAAACAATCACATTAAAAAACGTGACTCAGTGAATATCATCTAAAGTACACACATGATTATTTTCAAAAGTCAAGTATCAATATCATTATCACTGCAAATTAAAATGGTGCAGTTTCAATATGCATGTACAAGACACCATGCATACATGAACTACATATTGACTTTACTGTTATTAACCACACATTTAGAAACCAAGTCTGCTTTCAAAACAAACGTCTCAACTGTTTATATGAGAATAATGAAAGGCACAATGTTTTTTTCAGCTATTAAAAATCTGATAGAGAGGAAAAGCAAATAGTTATTTACGTGTATACATGAACGTATAGAAGTCATAGAGTTAAGATTAATTGTTTGTTTCCCATTTCAAAACCAAAACTGCTTTTGAAACTCAAGTCGCCATTATTGCTTCAAGAAGGGATTGGTTTTGTTTGGAAGAATTGCCGACTCATAATCTGAAGCAGTAGTGGGTCAAAGGGTGTGTGTGGGTGTGTGTGTGTGGGGGGGGGGAGGGTCATGGGCTTCCAATGTATGCTCTGTATATCATAACTGACACAAATAATAATCAATTAAATGTTATTTGTTTACCTAAACCTTTAAGAAGCAGTACACAAAATACACATCCTCGGTTAACACACAAACCCCATATACATTAATAATGGTATCCAAGACGCGGACAGAGTTTTAGCTTGCTCTTTTAGCTCCACTCTTTAGATCAGAACATATTTACCTGTCACCAGATTGGAATATCCCAAGAACACACAAACACAAACCCACACTGATGTTACAGCCGGACTACTCTACTCCACTCACAGGGAGGAAAACACACGCGACAAGTACAGGGAGGGGAAAAGCGAGAAACTATTAAAAGGAAAAGCAGAAGCAAGAGTATAGAAAATGTCATGAGGTACCGGTAATGCATCCTTCCAAGATAAGATATGCAATTATTGAAAGAGAAGCACCAGAACAGACAGTCTGCAAGCAAGCACATCCTTCAACAAGATAATTTCTGTAGAAATAACAGTTTCACTCTCTGCCTGCATTATTCTCTTTTGGTGTTCTTTAAACTTCATAATATGTGCAAATTCAATTCAAAGTTATAGAGGCAATAGGCAAAGAGAAAATGAAGTTGACCTATTTAACACAACGGCTCGTAATTTATTTGTTTTTTTCTCCCAGAATTCAGTTTTGTTGATATATTTACCCAAACAAGGTTCATCAGACCATATGGAAAGGACAAAAATATTCAGGTGTCCTTGGAACAAGTTCTTGAAAAGTTGCAAGACGTTTAAAATTGAGGTCCATATCTTTATACTGACCCAGATAATGGTTAATCAAAATAAAGCAAAGGATTCAAAGAATTGTTTGGAAGTTCATGAAAGATTATAAAACTATTCATATCTTTTTCTGCGCAATTGAAAACTGTCTGGAACTAGAATCAATTTGTGAATCATGCATTTGTATGTAAATGTCAATGAAACAGCAATGATCGGATTAAAAAAACTATATGCTGTTCACAGATATGTATTACATCAATCCTTCACTTTAAAGATATAGACCAGTAGTGGTAAAATTGCAGTTCAAGGGTTTTGGGTGCAAAATATCCATTCAATATTGTTTAAATATTGCCTTTAAAAAATTAGATAGCAATACTTCAAACTAAATTCGCAAAAAAGCAGAAATAAATGCCCAAATGTTCAATGTTGAAGTGCATTCGCGATATCTATCCAGGCCCGATTGATATGATAATTTACCAAATATATTAATTAGTAGGCGGTTTCCGGCAAGATTTGTATCATCACGTATTAGTTAAAAAATATTCTTTCACATGATTGGTAATAAGAGCTTCCATTTAATTTTTTGAGAGGGGGGTGTTTCCAAAACTAGTCTTTACCTTTAAATCAAGTATGTGAAAGCATTCATGTATCTTATAAGCCAGGCCTCATTCAAGTGCGTATCAAGCGCTGTCACGTTTTTGGCCGAGTTAAAAAGTTTTCTAAAATGTGGTGAAAGGCTACCGTAAGCAAGCACTACCAAGCAGAAAAGGAGAAAAGCAGAGCAACTATGCACGTAAACTTCTACTTGTAGCTAATGCTATGAGAGACAGAGCTCATGCAATAGTTCAAGGTATCTCAAAAAATAATGAGTAAGATTTCCAGAAAATGCATAGGAAGACGGAAGTGCAGAGAAGAGGCTAGTAGCTAAAGCAAAATAGCGGCAAAGTTCCACTTTAGGCTGAAATGAACAAGGCAATAATTTTTTTTTAAAGAGCTGAAGAGAAAGATAGGAAGATAAACGTATACAGACAGGGTGAAATAGTTAAATTGCAATAGTGAAAGACATAGAGCCAGGTATAGGAAGAAGAAAGAGAGAGAGAGAGAGAGAGAGAGAGAGAGAGAGAGAGAGAGGGAGGGAGAGAAAGAGAGAGAAATAGAAAGAAAGATAAAGAAGAAAGAGAGAAAATAAGAGAGAGAGAGAAAGAGAGATACGGGAGTGAGAAAGATAGAAGTGGAAAGAAAGATCGGGGAGAGAGAGAGAGATAACGCACAAAGCGGAAATCACATACACTAAGAGAAAAGAAAAGGGACAGGGATAATAGTGGTAGAGGTATAGAGAGTGAGAGAGAGAAAGAGAGAGAGAGGGGTGGGAGGTAAAGAGAAGGAGATAGAGAGAGAGAGAGAGAGAGAGAGAGAGAGAGAGAGAGAGAGAGAAACAAAAAAGAGATCAAGCAATTGGGACTAAAGGGTTAGAGTTAAAAGAGAACATAAAGCCGCAGAAACAGGCAAAGATTTTGATTGTTTTTTCCAAGCAGATTGAGAAACGAGAATATGAAAAGCATGCCCAAATTTAAGGAGAGGCACAGGTTAGGGGGGAGGGGGGACGGGGCAATGACTTTTGATTCTGTTTAGTCAGAATTAAGGAAAATATTTCCCACATTACTATCTAATTTAGGGAATTATCATATACATGTAATTGAACGAGAATGTAAAACACTACTTACAGAACAACCAAAATACATACAACTATTGATTTACAATATGGACAGTTAACTTCAACTGCTATATTTGTTAACTAACAGACTGGTAAATGTGTTTCTAGGTAATATTCAGTTTTATAGTACCGGAAGGAATACTAATAAATTTTTTCTTCTTCTATATTTGAGTATCTATTGGGAAACAGAACTATACCTGCAGTGCATTGTAAATCAGTTCTTCTATTCTGCAAGTTATTTCAAAGAGAAGCATTTTTCTACCTATCCTGATTTAAAAAGCACTTTAATCTAGTTTTCACACAAAAATGCCTCTGAAATTCATGCATTAACAATTATCTCTGCTTCTAATTTGAAGATACATTTTTTCTGCAGATTTCCAATGAAAAACTAGGATCTGGTGCCATCAAATTATAAATCATTCAAAAACATGTAATGAAAGTGCTGCTAATTTAGTGTGTTGGTCTGCTATTAATTATGGAACTATCAAATTACATTATAGGACTTCTAGATGTAAGAATTAATATTATATGATCATGTCATCAGATTACCAAAATGTACAGTTTATGGTCTGTGGAATTTGAACGACTAGAGAAACTAATGGATGTATTATCTATTTCGCTACAAAAAAAGAACTAGACATTTCAACTATAGGATTTAGTTGTGTATCCCTACGGTTAACAAAGATGCATTAAGCTAGGTTTACTTTACTACATCAAGATTCAATCGGTAGAGATGAGGGAGAGAGGATTAGTTCCAAAAGGAGATGGGGTGGAAGGGAGTATGGGAATGGGGTGGAGGGGAGTAGGGGGAGGCAGTCACTATTTGAAAGAGGGTGGTAGGAGGGCCACAAGACTCAAACTTGAAAGCATGCCATGCAACAAACTGAAAAAAAACTGAGGGGCAAAATGAGACTACAAAATGATAGAAAATTAAAAAAAAGGAACAAATGGCATACCAGATTTTCTGACTGTGACAGGCTTGATACACTCCCAGCAGATAAAACATCAGATTCACAACAAGCTGTACTGCAGGGGGAGAGAGAGGGAGGCAAGCAAGAACAAAAACGACCACCACAAGACAGTAAACCATCATCAAAGACATCCCCCGAGGTCAACGACCCCATCATCATGCGGTCATCCATCTCCTCTTGGAAGGAGAGGCTGGTCTTGAGACAGATCCCCGATTCGGGGGTCTGAGCCGGATCGAGGGGGGTCTTATGATGACCTGGCCCCGCTGAATTTAAGACGTCCCTCTTCCCGAATGACAAGCCCCCCTTTTCGTTTGTCTGCCCGACCAGCACTGTACCCTCGGTATCTATCCCATAGCTTTCGGTCACGGAGGACTCGTCTTTGTTACTGACCGAGACGTGGAATGTGGCGTAGACGATGTCGGTGTTGCTCAGGCCCGACATCTTCTTAAGGGCAGCAAAGTTGCACATGCAGCAGTTGTCGGCGTCGGGATCGGAGGTCTCGTCCAGGTGGTAGTGGCGGCGTCTCTTAAAACAGCAGCATCTGAGGAATGAAAGACAGAGGAATAAACAGAGGCTGAATAAAAAAAACGGACATAGGATGTAGCTTTTAACCTTCTATTTGCCATAACTGTAGACGACACATTGGCTGGCATGCCACATGTGGCCATTTGCACAAACATCTATTTAACTTCATCTGATCTAACTTACCAAAGATCTGGCTATTGCACTAGAAACTAATTTAATGTGCAAATCATGGAAAACCAACAAATACAATTTACGAAGCGTCAATAAGTATCAAGGAATTGTTTGTAAAACTAAGCGATTCCAGGACAGGGCTCTTCCCAATCTCACACGTATGTTAAACTTTCACTAGATGCAAATCCAAGCTTATAATTGCCATAAGAACTGTGCAATATTATTTTATTTTTAACAGTGGGGGCAATATCAATCAGTCATTTTAAATTCTGTATGTATTTTAAACCATGTACAATTCAGTATATGACTGCCATTCCTGTCTTTAATAAATCTTGATTGAATTGAATTTAACTTTATACATAGGACCAATATACCACAAATGATTGACCAACCTGCACTCCCTGGTCATAGTGCAGCACCCCTCAGCACCATAGACCATCACATAGCCCTTCCAACCGTACGAAGCTGCAGCAAACTTGAAGTAGTAATGGAGCTCTTCAAATAGATCCATGTCCTCCTGAAGTATTAAAGAGGGTGGAATGAAAGAAATAACATTGCAAATGAAACTAAAACTATGAACGTTATCTTTAAAAAATACTGCATAAAACCACAATAGGAGATTTTCATATGCAGCCCTTGTTTTATAGAATAAAGTGCCGGAATACCTTAGAAATATAGAGTTTAGAAATATTTTCAAAACATATTTAGTTAGCACTGTGTGAAATCTCACAATTATGAACCCAGTGTAGCATTTCCAATCCTTCTGTATTCTGTTCTGTAAAGTGCATAGAGTTATGCAATTATGCCTATGTGTTACCGGTATGCGCTTTACAAAAATACTTAGTTATTTTTATCATTATTATTATATTATGTATACAAGTATCAATGAAAATCAAAGAACACAATTCCTTCTAACTATCGCTGGGAATGAACTACATTTTGAACAAACAAAAAATGAACACTACACTATAAAGACATTCAAGAACATGGAATAATTTTGTTGAAGAAAAAAAATCCAAGCCTTGAAAATCATGAAATTGTTATATCAAATAAGTTTATCAAGTCATTTGCTGTATAAAGACATGCTTTTACCATTAACTTTGAAACTGAATTATTGATACAAGCTTTTATTTAGAGTTTAATGTTTCAATTGAGTGAATCCCATGTTTTGAACATACTGCTTTATGTAAGTCCAGGAACTTGGTCTCGGGTGTTACAGCAACACCCGACAAGAACTTGAAGACACTGTTTTGGGGTGAGTTCTCTATGGCTCTTCTTCGTTGCTTCTGTTCTTCCCTGAGTAGCATCAGACCAGCAAGGACGTCGGTGGGGACAACGTCAAGGTCTCGGAAGAACTCTGAGAACAGGATGGCAATGTCTGAAAAGGCACTCTGGAGAGGGAGAAGGAAGGGGAGGAGGAGGAGGAGGATGAGGAGGAGAGGGGAGGAGGGAAGGGGAGGGGATGGTGAGGAGGAGGGGGAGGGGGAGGAGAAGGGGTATGAGGAGGAGGAGAAGGAGAAGGAGGAGAATAAGGAAAAGGAGGGGGAAATAATATTCAATTTAGATGAAAAAGAAAAGATAAAAATAATCCAGTAGACAACCTATATTTTGTTGACTATGTATGTATATTTCTATTTAAAGAACTTTCAATGATAATGCTACCCACAAATACATTTTGACTATTGTCCCGAGGGAATAGGAGCTTAGGAGAAAAACAAAAATTCATGATATTTTGTCAAATGACAAACAGGAGAGTTGTCAGTGAGTGATGACCCAATTCAGTGACAAAATTGCCAATTCGAAATTTGCATACCAGTAGCTTTAGTGATCTCATATTTCAAACATTCTTCACACTTTCATCATTGATCCAATTTATTGAAAACTTTTGCCTCTCCGTTTCTCTAATTTTTCGGCTTTCATACAAATGAAATTCTTACAAGGATTGGATTGCACTTTAACGAGAGCAACTGTTTAGCAATGTTTCTATCTTCATGTATTCAGTCCGATAGTTCATTCCCCTATGAGCCAGAAAATGCATGCACGCAAAACCCTAGAACGATGAAAGTGCTCTGGCTTTCGCTTGCATCATATACTTGATCCAATATACATTTCCTTCAACAGTACATTGGTGTCACCAGTACATCATGAAAACAGAATGTCCAGATTTTTCTCGGAATTTAAATGAAGTTTCAAAATTACAGAGGCAATTTGCAATTTGCGGTATACAAATATCTTATTATCATTATTTATTATTTATATATATTGCAGGCTATTTCTAGATGCAGTATACAAATATCTTATTATTATTATTTATTATTTATATATATTGCAGGCCATTTCTAAAAAACCGCTGTTTTGCCACAAGAAAAAATATGATAATAATGATATATCATTCTTGTTAAAAATGCATATATCACATTCTCATATATAACATCTCTACGCACTTTTAAAAGACTCTCGATATCATTACTCTGGTCTTAGCTCCACCAGAGACTACGCATGTACCTTCTTCGTGAGCACATGAATTTCCCTGATTAATTCTTCACTAATTTTGGGAGATTTTCCCAAAGGTCCCTGACATTTCCCTGACTGGAAAAAAGAGAATACTTTTCCAGCATTTTCCCTGAGGCATACATATCAGTGACTTACCTCTTGAGTTTCTCCCGAAGCGGTACAGCAGAACCAGAATCGCAACCTCTTGTCCCAGTTCTGTTCATACTTGGCTTGAGTTCTCCTAAAACACAGAGAAAGATAGAATTCAGCCACTGTTGAACAGACCACAAGCCTTTATTTGTTTTAAAAATAAACTCCTTATGCCTCAGTCACACCTTTGTGTGTTAGGCTTGCGTATTGCTGCATATTTATGACAAGCGGTTTTAACATTTATTCCTATTTCTAGATATCAAGAAATGATTTTCTTTTGTAAAGCAATGGTAATTCTTGATACGCAGCAATACGCAAGCCATATACGCAAAGGTGTGACTGAGACATTACTTACATGTTAAGAACATACACTACTTTAAGTTAGTATGATGGCTCAGTGGTGGAGCAGTGGTCTCGTATTAAACCGAGAGGTCCCGGGTTCGAAATTGCGCTCATGCCCTTTGGTAAGGCATTAATCCTCATTACCAAGTCCCTTGGAGAGGACTTACAGCCATCCATCCCCTGGCTGCTTACTTGGGTAGAGTTTTTTTTATAATCATTTCTTTATTTGTTTTTATTTATTTAAATCACCAACTGAAAAAAAAATCAATTAAAAATTGGATTAATTACATGTTATTTGGGTGATCAAATCTTGTAGCTGAGGTCATATTTCATCTTCTGATAAAAACATGTCACGTATACCTGCAGAAATAATGCTAAAAGTGACCTATAAAAAGAAGGTCATGAAGGCAATTATGTTAAAACATGAAAGATTAAATTTTTTAATATAGTTTGTTTTATGAGTTAATAGAATTAATAGTTCAATTTTTACAGGGGCATATCACATTACATTATCTATGTACTTCAAAAGGACGTTGGATATTATTACCCTGATTTTAGCACCTGTAACCATAGCGTTTAATGTATTGAAGCCAGGTGCCAGGTGCCCCTTACCATACCATGGCGAGTGTGGCATATGATATGTAGGTATAAGACTTGCATTCATGCTGCAGCTATATTTTATTTCTTTTTTGCTTTATACTCCTTAAAGATGAAGTTGAGTTCTGGTCATGCGATTGCATTGTGAAAGAAACGGTGTGGAATCGACCAGAAAAGGTTGATATAAGCATATAAGAATTTGTGTGTATTGCAAGGTTCTGGAATCACCAAAATGATAAGAAATTTTGGCCAAGTCTTGGTAAAGTAACTGTACACAGAATATGGGTCTACACGAACATGTGGCGCAAAAATCCTACCCTGGATTTTTACGATGTTACATGACATATTTAGAATATGAAGGCATTTGAAGAGCCCTGCTTTTCAGGGAACATGTCTTATCTGATGTTCTTCCACACGTGCATAATAAGAATGATAACACCCGCAAATTATTTTTCACCTCTTCCCAGAACTCAACCTTCTCTTTAAACATACATATCAAGTTTACCCATTGGAAGATATCAAATTCATTTGGATAATTAACCGTTAACCCACAGAATGCCAAGTATAGTCTCTTCGAGGTTGATTTTTTTTACATTCTAGCTGTACACGAGATTTATTTGGTATCCGTAAAGCCTCGTTCAGATTTGACGCAGCGAAACCACAGAGTTTTTATGACGTTAAATGCCATACACATCATATTTCTACATCGTATAACACAGGGCTCAGGGATTACGCGCAGGGTCTTTGTTGCACCCAGTTGCCAATCACGTACACGTAACAAAAATACGGCAGCTATTTTGCAGTGTTTAACCAAGTCATATCCGAACCAGGCACATAAATATTTCCACCCCCCCCCCCTTGCCGTTTATTTAAAGGCACACTGCCATACTTGTAGCTACTTGCTCCCTCTATATAGAAAACTTCCCCAATCGGTGCCTGTTGGTCTCCCATGATCCTCTGTTTCTTATGTTAAATGAGAGCTGAGTTAATGAGATAGCCACCTGTCACAGTGACCTCGATGGCTCTCTGTGTGGTCTAATCCCTTCTGGCCCAGTAGTGGTGACGGTCTTTAAACATAAAATGGCTTCCACTGTGAAAGGTCTTTTGAAGTAGTTTAATTATCTTGTCATATATATGTGAAAGGGGCTTAGTACAATATGCTATTCTGCCCTAGTTTCGCTCTGACGTGGCCGAGATCCATGTAACGGGATGCAAGAATAGTTCAATCACCGTCGTTGTAAGGAAGATGCCCTGTGAAATCCATCCTACCCTTCCTTCCTTTCTTCATGTCCATGCTCCCGCACCATTATCTTCTCATATTACAATCGATTGAACATGGATGTGGACATGTATGAGTAATGTGGGAAACTGGGTTATTATTGAAATAGAGAAGAAGGTCCTTTGCTACAAGTAGATTTCTTCTTCAGTAGATTTTGCACATTATACACAGACAGAAGTGCTGGGGTCTAATGGATGGTGGATACGTCACCAGACTTGTAATTTGTAGGTTTATTAGCAATTTTTTGTTTAATATATAATTGTTTGTCATTGTATTTTGTTTGTTATATCGCTTAGAGGCTTCTGTGGAAACTGGAAAGCGCTTTATAAGCACCGTTTTATTACTATTATTATCATTATCACATGGTTCATGGTTCGAATCCTGCCTCAGCACTCATGTCTTTTGGGAAGATATTAATGTACATTAAAGGCACTCTCCCCTACTAACTGGGCCTACATTATTAAGGTCAGCAGAGACTGGCTCTGAATAATCAAATTTCACTTGAGGAATGGTGAAAGTGGTGACCATGAAGAGGAAGTGGGCAAACCCTTTATTAAATGGAAGCAAATAGGGCAAAATTAATCCCATGATAATTGAAAGGCGGGGTTACTAAGAGTGATGCACAAAATTTGTCCAAATAGAGATTATTACTGGGCCAGCATGGTTTGATTAAGCAGGGACTGCCTCGCTCAAGAACATCCAAATTTATTAACAATGTGTATGCGTGGGTGCGTGTGTGCATGTGTGGGTGTGTATATGTGGGTGACTTTATGTGGGTGGGAGGGGTGAATCATTTATCAGAAGCAAATGCTCCAAAGTTAATCATTAGGAAAGGGTAATTTGCATGCACAGACCAAGTGTCTGCAGTGTCTGCAAAATAAGACTACAGTAGGCTCTGTATGTACTTTAACTGCTCAGGACTAACTCCGGGAAGCTCCAACACCGGCGCCGCAGGCGTCGGAGCTGAATATGCACGACTCGAACAAACAGAGCCCTTCTCAACCTCGTGCATATTCATCGATTTCGAGCGATCGGCGCTCGATAGCATGAATATTCATACTTTCTGCGGCTCTGCCGCGCATGCGTACTGTCTCTTCGCCATTTTGAATCGATGCTGCGAAATTGAAGAATCGTTTGTGTTGGGCTCTGAATAACCCTTTTTTTCCCATCGAAGACTTCTTCAAATTATGAATTCAAGTGATCATTGTTATGCCCTGAGGATTCGTGCACCCTATGATGTAAAAATTGTAAGTACTACCTTTGCAGATTTAACAATAATGTTACCCCATCGGCTGTTTTAGAAGCCCCCACGACAGTTTTACCGAAGCTCCGACGCCTGCGGCGCCGGTGTTGGAGCTTCCCGGAGTTAGCTCAGGACAAGCTTTGCCAGAAATTACTGACAGATTCAGTCTCTGTTCAAGGCTTTGGGAATTGTGGTAAAGTGTCAAATAAGAGTCTGTGCCTGCAGATTAAGGAAAGGGGGAGGAGAGGCAGCGCAACTACCCTCTCCATCTCAGGGTCTTCACCCTTAACCGGCCTTCCAATGTTTACTCTACAGATTCTCTCGATTAGTGGCTTTAGTGTGAACTTGATTAGACCTGAGCCATGACGTCCTATCAAAGGCCACTTAACTGAGATAAAAATCAGTGGCTCGTGATTGATGATTAGGACTGAAGGCCTGTCCTCATCAGCTCGAGATTGCCAAATATCCCGATCACAAATTATCCAGTTATTTTGCATCTTCATCAGCTCGATGTTGGTGTTAACGGGAAATTTGGTTGAGATAATCATCCCTAGATATCTTGGGCTACTTTGCAAAATATCCTTCTATTTGTCCGAAGATTTGCACTATTCGCGAACGCTGAGCAAAATATCTTGAGTTAATTTCTTGAGCTCGAGTTTCAAGTTTCGAGGTCAAGTCCTGAGCTGATGAAGACGCGATTTGTAACTTTGGGATTATTTCCCAAATCAGAAATAGCGGGCTATTTATCAATTTCAAGCTGATGAATGTAAAGTGTTGTACACTAATTATGATTTATAATAAGAGTCTTCTTGAGGCTGGATTTTGTAGAACTCAAATATGAACAACTTGTTGTATTTATTAGATGTATGTGAAGCCGCATTACAATCTGCGGTAGCAATAATCATGGGCATATGATATAGGTCATTTGTTGAACATACATGTAGATATAAAATGATATCATATCACAATCCCTCTTCTCAATGAAAACTTAATTTCATATTTAGATCCATACTGTTTAAAATATCTTTTTAAAATTCTTTGCTTAAGAAATTAAACTTGTGCTAATATGAACTTACAATTTCGTCCCTTTCTTTGTTTGTTTGTTGTTGTTTTGTTTTTTCCAAAAACAATTTGAAAATTCTATCACATTTGTTTTTCATTTGAATGCGAATTGTTTGCTTATTTATCTAAAATGTTTTGATCAGACTTCAGTTATCATCTTGCTTTATAATGCAATAAACTTAATTAATAAACAAAACATGACATATTCAATATGTCTCTTTAAATCTAATTACTCAAAACCTTGTAAACATTGTTAAAGAAAGCAAAAGACAACAATTATTTGAATTATCTCCAACCATATCAATATTTTACATATCGTATCTCTCTGGTTTCTTAATAGTACGACCTGATCTGGTGGTGTATGGTTGGTGGTGATTCGATGGTGTGTCTGGTTTGCTTTGTGTTTGTTCTGTTTGTGCATTCTGCTGGTCGTGTACATCATTATGTCTATCACTAGCATGTTGATGGTTTTGTTCCATGCTGTCCCTCTCTTGGGTTGGTTTGATGTGCCTACGATTTCGTCGCAGAGTGTAACCTGATGATGTCTCTACTTCATATGACCTTGGTT